GTCGTCAAACATAAAATCAGTTCAGATAAGGGAATCAGAATTTTTTATCATTACGATATGCTTATTGATCTCTCCAATTCTGTCTTTAAATCACAAATCATGATTGTTAAGAAGGATAAGTACACTAGGCATTCAAGCAAAAAACTCTATTTTTTTTTTCGTTCTTTGACAATCACTCGTTGACTTGATCATTATTTATTCGTTACAAGGATATAATAACAATAATAGTAATACTAATGACAACTAGACAACAAAAAAAGGAATCGATAGATCTCTGATAATATTCATATATTTATATGTATGTATGTAGACAGTGTCATTGACATTCATAATTCATGTCGAATAGGAACGTGAGATCGAGGATAGGAGTAATAAATATCTCGTATCGATAATAAGAAAAGAAAATATTTGTTCGAAGAGGTGTGAACTACAGTAGACGTACAAAAATATTCTGTGTTAAATTAGTTGATTAGTTCCACATTGAGAGAAAAGTGACTAGAGAATGATTAACAGCCTTTCAGTTCGATTCATTGGAAAGAATACTAAAGAGAAATCGAGACGGCAGAAGAAAGAGGTAAGCATTCCGATTTGGATTTTTCTAAAGGGGAGAAAAAAAGCGTATGGAAAAGTCAGCAGTGTCTCTACCCTTCATTTACAATCCATCGGACTCAAATATATATATATATAACTAGAGAAGAGGAAGAGATGGGAACCGACAGAGAATATGTCATGAGAAAAAAAGAAGAAACAATAACAAACTCGAAGAAAAAAAACTCGTTCTCAACACTCAGTTTTTTCGTTCATTGGATAATAAAAATTATTGAACTTCTTTCCTTCTAATATAAATGTTTTGATTAAGTCTATAAAAGCAGTAAATGTAGCCAATAGGCTTTTCCCTTTATTTAAATTGAATCGTCTAAGGTAAGTTTGGTCAATAGACATGTCTTCATGACAAGGTTGCTCTCTAAGGTATTTAACTAACGTTTTTCATTACACTTCAATTCGACATATTACTATTGGCAAAATTTCAGTTCACTTACCTAGTTTTAGCATTCTTTTCTTCTGTTGTTTGTCATGCTATACATTAGAAAAAATTAATCATACCTCAGCTGATGCACATAAAACTAATAATAATCGCAAGTCAATATATAGGTTTTTGTCACACTATACTTGGAGTCTTTGGGTTTTAGAAAAAAAACAATCAATCATTGAATATTCCGTTCTGACACATATTAACCGACTTCGAAGGAACAGTCTTTTTATCTAGAGTTTCCATCGGATTAGAAGCATGTTGAGACAGAACACTCAATGAGTAAATAAAGAAAGCCGAAGAAACCCATAGCTATTATGTATTTATTGAATGTTTCGGAAATGCAATGTTGACATAAACTTGTTTTTCCTTACAGATTTCTTCAACTAAAAATATTGTCGATCGCTATTAATTTGTATGATTTTCCATCAGTTGAGTTGGAACGTTGATTTCATCACATCGACGAGTTCCGCCTACATGAAGAGAGAGAGAGAGAGACAGAGAGAAGATGCACTGGTATCTTACGAACTTGAACCAAGAGACATGAATGTAACTAGTCAGGGAGAGAAGAGAAGATGACTCGAGGGAAATAAAAATGTGTTGTGATGAAGAAAATCTCTTTTCTCCTTACTTCTCGTGTAAGCTCTTATGTTTGCCGATAAATACTTCCATATGGCGATCGCCGCGTTAACTTCATTTCAGCTATCTATCCCATGTTTTTGTTGTATTTTGATTTCTTATTAAATATTCTAGGCGATATTCGAAAAACTAAATTGCCTGCTCTATTCTTGATCATTATCGAACCATGAATGAGGCAATCTTCGTCACGCGACATAACTGGTCAACAGAAGCAACGTTTACTTCTTCGCCCACGAATCTTACCCATCATCTACCTATTCCAACAAGACAAGCCACATTCATCGGTGCCATAGTTGCTATTGTTTTTATTTTCTTCGGTCTAATTGGAAATCTTATTCTTATAACAACTATACTCTCCGTAAGAAAACTTCGATCGAACATTATCAATATATTTATCGTTTCGGTAAGATTCGATAGCAACAACAAATTATATTAAAAACAAATATCTTTCTTTTTCCTATTCAAAAGTCATACAGCTATCTTGATTGATGTTTTGTTTCGTTTAGTTACAATTCAATGATCTTCTCAACATTGGCTTCAATCAATTGTTTGTCGGACTATCCTACGCTAATCGACACTGGGTTGGAGGACCTTTAATCTGTAAATTAGTTGTTTACTGTTCGACAATTTGTATGGGTTGTCTTCTTTGGCATCATTGTCTCATTGCCATTCATCGCTTAATGGTCGTTGTCTATCCAAATCTCCTCCGTCGAATGTCCGTCAAGGCTTACATTATCGTATCACTTGTCATTACTCGAGTCTTGCCGATACTTTGTTGTATACCATCATTTCTAACGAAATCGATCGCGTACTCTGATCGAGCACTACGTTGCTCACTACGAAATAAAATTCAAATCTATCTTAACATAACCGTTCTCATATTACTACCAAATGTCATCATAATCATTTGTTTCGTCGGAATATTCGTACATGTTCTAAGTGCAACGAACACCACTGTTCGAACCAATACCAATACAGTCTCCACATCGCATTCACTACGGCGCGAAATACGCATTACCAAGATGTTCGCAATATTATTTACATTGTTCTTTCTCGGATATCATCCATATGGTTTCGTTCGCGCATTTGATAAACGTGGCCAATTACATCCAGATATTTACGTTCTATTAACATTACTTTATTGTATCTCAATTTGTGCATCACCATTAGTGTACGGAATAATGAATAATCAATTGCGTCATGAATGTATGAGAGTTTTATTCAATTGTTGGCATTGTCAGAAGATCGATGATTATAAAAAATATTCTCACCATCGGCTGAATTCGTCAGCAAGACATTCAACGATACGGAATGGCGGAGAAATTACTGACGAACATTCAGGCACGACTCAGTCATCGCAACAAAGAAGAATGAAGTATTCGAAAAAGAAAAGGTCATCAGAACCTACTGTCGACACATCTTGTGTTTAATATTCTTCTTTTTTCTGTCAGTACATTTCGTATGTGTTTGCGTTTTTCTTCTCAGTGATATGATTGAAATGATAATAAGAGAATATTTCAATGCTTAAACTCGGTAAAGATGGCTGCTTTCGGCTAGAAAAGAAAATTTCTAAGAATTGTCTAAACTGCAACGGAACTATAGATCAAAGTAATTCAAAGCAGGAACATATGAATAAAATATAATGAAGAATTTTCCTCTAGACTCGTCAGTACTCTTTATTTTGGGTACATTTGAAATCATAGACTATTTTGATAACAAAACCAAGGAGAAAAGTTAAAATGAAAAAAATCAACAAGCCAAACCAATTTGTGTTTTGTTTGGAACCATTCAGTCGTACAACGACTCGACAAGGTGCACCTGTTCCATTTCCAATCTTCATTGGATGCACATCTAAAGTAAAAAAATTCTTCTGTACATTATTTAACAAGTTCTCGGTTAAAGCTAGATTTTCCAATCCATATTTGTTATGTCGCGCTAATATTTGATGAACTGCGTATGTTTTCGATTGACCGTAATCAGCTAAACAAACAAATATTCGAAAATAAGTCTATGTCCAACTGATTCTCCTCTTACTCGAAAGAGTATCAATTCCAACGCCGACAAAATTATCTCCATATGTATTAACCAAATAGATAGCTAATTGTTCACTTAAACCAGGAAATTGAACATCCGAATTGTTACCAGCATACGCTGTTTGATCGGGCCAATATTTTGTCCATCCGGTATAGAAGATCAAAACAAATAAAAATCGTTCGCCAGTTTCGGCATCGATTTCAGGTACAGATAAGTCACTTCTTTTGACGTCGTCAATTGTGATAAGATAGTTTTTATCTTGACTACAGCGTTTGGAAACATCAATGATACGAGCATGTACAGATATTAAATGAGAAAATGGAATTTCATCGACTTTCCATCCAGTTGGAGAAAAATGATAGGGAGCATCGATATGAGTGCCCATGTGTTCACCTGTGGTAAATGCATTGGTTGCGTAGAAAAATTTGTTGTCTTCATTCATCCATTGGGCAATGCGTTGTGTGAAATTAAAACGTACTTGACTGGGAAAGAACGGGATCGAAGGATGAATCGTATGTGATAGATCAATGAATGTCAAAGGAACGGATAATGAGGAATGTAAGATGATTAGAAAGAGAAGACATTGAAAGCTCATGGTGCAAAAAATAATCTTCGAATAGCAAATATCGTGGTGATGCACGTGAAAAATAAAGAAATAAAATAACGATGTGTAAAAAATATTTGTATATCTTGATATACTTTTTCTTTTCTTTTTCGTTCGCTCTTAGCATACCATTTTAATGTCTAGTGATCGACAATGTTTCGAGGCAATACAGACGATTTGTGATGATTATTAGCAAAGAAAGAGAAGAAAAGAAAATTACCGATTTGCACGCTGTTTGCCTAAGGAGAAAATAACACATTATGAGCTAATGACAAAACTGGTTTTCGTCCATATGGACAAACAATGTGTGTGTGTTTTTTTGTGAAAGATAAACATTGAATTGTTCGGTTATGTTGTTGAAATGTAGCAGATAATTGAATTATATTTTTCTTTTTTTATACTTCAAGTGCAAATGGAACACTTGTTTCACGATTCACGTTTCTGTTCAAACAATAGCTTCGCCACAAATAAATACCCTCGATGCGATTGGCAACCACAATTAATGAGAACATTTTATTTTATAGAAGTTCTTTTCTTACTAAGAAGGATTTCTTAGCGTTGAAGTCGAATTAACTAAATTGTCAACTGCAGATGCACTCTTCGTCAACTTAATTTTCAGGAAAATTTCTTCGAACAGATGAGAATAAATGCGCTTAATTATATCTCTAATTTGACAAACTCTTTTTTCTACTTATGTTTGAATCCGAAGAGAAATTAAACAAGAAATCAGCTCCTAAAACTGTCCGTCTACTACTTGCTCAACTAATCAATAATTTCATTGAATACACTTCCGAGTTAACCTACTTTGCGATCAATGCATTTCAAACCTCTTCATTAAAACGTGTACAAACAATGACATTGACACGTTTCGATCATTACTGTGTACCACGCGTGTGTGCACTTTATTATAGTCTAGATCGAGAGTTTGAAGAATTTGTTTTACGAATGAAAAAGTTGTGTAAACGTACACAGAATACATTCTTGGACATACGCTCAGCGAGAATTCATTATCCACAATCTGGTATGTTTAACATACCGGATACACATCGGTCGTTGAATATCTTCAAATGTAACATCGAACGGTTGAGAGATTTGAAAAAAATCCATCAAGATCTGTTAGTTGGCGTTTTGTCTTAAACAATCTCGAGATATTCTCTTCATTTAGTGGACACAATCTTCTGTTGCCGAATGATCAATTGTTTCTATCACTTGATCTTTTAGTTACTAATTTTCAATTGATTTTGTGTGAACTAGATAATCAAGTAGTGTAACATGCATTAATCTTGTCGAAGAACGAATTGACTTTGTTTACAATAGGTGCGTTTTAAAGATGCAATCATTTTACAAACATTTGTCAATGATATATTTCTTCAATGTCGTGTGGTACTGACTTGGTTGTATCCAGCAATCAAAATGGCTGCCTACCGTTTTGGTGATCCGAATAAACAGTTCGCAATCAAACGTTGTGATAATGTGGAGAAAAATACCAGGAAAAATGCTCGAGAGGAAACAATTCAGGAAGAATCGTTAGGAAATAATCTTCCTATTAGAAAACCAACAGAATATCAGTTGAGAGACAAACCAGTGAAATAATATTCAATATAATTTCCTTTGCTTAGATCTCATCTGACACCACAGAATGAAACTAGTGAATCAAATCAATCAACTCACGAACTGATCACAGACGAGAATCCTAGCATCAATACAAATAATGTAAGTTTCTAATGAAAACAACGTTACGTATACCAACTATGAATCAGTGATCTTCTATGCCCCCTTTGGTATAGATTAAATCATTCTTTACACTAACACGAAGACAGAATATACCAAACAAACCTATGTTTTGATTAAAATCGGAAAGAAACTGAGAATAACTACTAAAACTGGAATAAGACCTTGAGTAAATATGAAACACCTTTGTTTTTTGTTTATGCTAATAGAGATCTCTGACACTTTTGATAAAGTTTGTTTTTATCAACATCTCATATATCTATAAACTATTTTTAATTCGAGACAATCTGTACGAAAGGTTTCTGCCCGTTAGAAATCGCTCGAAGACATGAAAACCCAACACCAGTTTTCATATTTCAGATGACTCAATCGATTACTGATAACAGCAGTTTAACGTTTATCAAAAGATCTTCTCCTACCAACTCCAGTATGTATTCATATCGATTTCTTATCTCTTATCTTCTACTTTACTATAGAAACTGTCAACCTGAATCAATCTTGTTCTCCTGAAAAACAGGCACTATTAAATTCCGTAAGAACATTTATTTCATATAAAGAAAAGCCTAAACTAGCGGTTTGTTCTTAAAAGTCAGTTTTTGGTCGTGAATCTAAATATTTTTTCAAATTTTCATTTGCGTAAACTGCATCGATCAATGGTTTGAATTGATCACCGAATTTCCCTTTGACTTCCGGGAGAGCTTGAACTAAAGCTTGAATTGATTGATAGACAAATAAGTCGGCCCATGATAATTGATTGCCGACGAAATATCGTTCGTCTTTGCTGTAAGCTTTCTTCAATTTACCTAAGCTTTCGACATGTTTGACAAGTGTATCTTCAAGAAAAGTTTTCAATTGTTCAGCTTTTTTGGTTTCGTCTTTTTCGAAAAAGACTTTCGAATAGAAAATTTCGTTGATGTCGCGTTGTGTTTCAACAACAGCGTCGATTTTTGCTGATTCAAGATTGTCAGCACCGGCCATGTTTGCTTCACGGGCAACGTAACGAGCAATGGACAATGATTGAGGAATTTGGGTGCCATCGGCAAGTTCGAGAACTGGGCATTGGCCTAAGATCATTTTTGGTTTGTATTCTGGCCATTGTTCAAAATTAAAACGAATATCATCGTACGATCGACCAGCAGCTGCTAAGATGAGTCGGGTTAATTCACCACGAGCTGCCAAATTGAAGTAGTACAACTTAAGATCACCACTGCTCATGTTCGTTTTTTGTTGTCGACGAGAAACAATGAAAATGAAGAGTGTGTTTACCTTTTTATATACATTTCATTATCTTCGCAATGTCATCGAAAGAAAAGTGATAATAGCCATACCCTGTTTTCTTTCTCTTACTTCGAGATACTCTCACCGTATGACATAGCATCCCTAACTCAACATTTTATCTTTTTTCAAATCGATATCAGATAGACATTTGAATGCTTATTTCATGATGATGATGCACAAATTTCTCTTCTCTCTTCTAGTCACCATTGTCGTCATCGATGCGGCGAACATTACGAACACATCAATTACGTGTGTTGGACTTTATTCATTTGATATAATCAAATAAACATCATCATTACTTTTCCTAAATGATGATGGTTTAAAGGAACATGGTTTGTTTATACATGCATCGCTGATGTACAGTTTTATTTCGAGTCGTCATCATTCAACCCTGAAAAATGAGTTCTGACTGAGATAAGGGGTTTGAGGTAATAATCTCTCGTTTCGAATGACCTTTCATCAACGTATGAGAATTACATCACTCATCGGATCAGTTCGTATTCCGTCTCTCTCTTTCTCTCTCTAAACAAACGCAATGCAATCAATTTTAAGAAAATGAAAAGAGATATATACAAAAGATCGATGATCTATCTTCATTCTCAATGATAAGAAATTTACCCACACATACACATAAGAGAAAAAACAAACGCGAGTCAGTCTAGTTGATAATATAAACAATCACATATACCATTGTAATCAGTTTATTTTTCAAATCATTCAATAGACTTCGTTCTCATCAATGTTTCATAACATAATGATATGATTATCTTATCTTCAATGTATTATTGTTTCTGTCACACACACGCACATACATATGCATATCTACACAAAGAAGAAAAGGTTAACTGACTAAGCTATACCATTGTACAGGTCAACTCTTTCACATTGAACATGCATCATATCGATTAAGAACAGATGTGTTCATTAATGTCTTGAAATACAAAGTCAATTTAGTTGATAAATAACATGTTTGATATACGAACGATCTCGATTGAGTTCTGTCTAGCAACTCTTCTTCTTTTATTAATCTTTATTATAAATATTTCTCATATACTTTACTTGATTATTTATCAACATACGAAACAAATACGACGCGTCCGTTCGATTCTGATTAATTATTCGTGTTCGTCGTTGATTGTATCGATCTGGTTAATTCCGTTCTTCTATTTTCGTTCGATTTGGTCAACAGAATCATTTATCTGGCGTCTATGGTCGTTTGCATTTCATATTATTGATACCGTTCAATTATATTCACTTCTTCTATTAATCACAACGCGTTCATTTCAACGAATATTCATTTGTTTCATTTGGATAACACCAATCATTGCCTATTCGCCATTATTATGGTTAAGTTCACCTTTTCATCAAGTAGATTACCTCCCCTATCGAAGATTAACTCAAGATATTCCATGGTGGATTCTCCCGATTCTTTATTTCAGTATGTACTGTCTTCCACTGCTCATTTCCTTAATATTAAGTTGCATTCATCTATGTTGGCCACTAATATTATACTATTACAATAAAAAAGAAAAAGCGCATACACCATTGTATGATAATTATGAACATCATCAAGATATGACTGAATTAACCAATCTCGTTAAAACAGTATTCAATTTCCATTTAGATCAACCGACAAATAACATAGTGAATATTTTTTTCGAAAATGAATATCAGTTGATTTAATTGAATTCTATTTGTTGTAGAAATGTTCGTCTCTATATGTACAGCCATCATTACCATATAAAATCAGTCAACATGAAGCCTTGTTTTTATTTGATGAACTTTCAACATGTTCATTAATTCATACACCGACAATCAAAACAAAAAATTGTCTCAAACAACCATTGAATTCTTACATATTGTTTCTTATAACTTGTCTTTTATTCCTTGTTCATCTACCTTATGTCTTCTCGTCACTGTTCGATTTGCGTTCGTTACAATTATCCATATTTATATATGTACATTGGTTTGGAACATTGTTCATACCAATGATACATATTCGATGAAGACTGTCGATTACAGACAGTAAATTTGAACATTGTTATCGAATAGAAAGATTTCAGTCGTTGTAGAACTTTTCAATAATGAATTTGCTTTCAGTACTTTCTGTTTTTCGTAATGAAAAATTGATGTATGAAATCTTAGATAGTTAAAAAATGAAAACACTCAGGTTTATTCGCAAATCATTTGAAATTCTATTCCAGTCACGATGTCGGAACAAATTCGTTGCTTTCGTCATCTTGCAATTGCAGATCTTGATCAGTGTCGAGACTGGATTGTGGCTTTCGTAGATTCCAATGGAGGATGTTTGCCAAAGATTCGAACCAGTCCCCCAGTTGATCGAACCGACTTATGGATGGAATAGGATAAACGCTCGTAGTGATTCGGACACTAAAAATCAACGAAAATATTCTTTTTTTTTCTAGAATTATTGATGAAATTAACCTATCTTGTTGTTGGAGTTCAAGTCGATTTCGTCCATCGACTGAAAGCCATGCAGTTAAACGAGTATCTTCAGATACCTTCACTTCAAGTTCAAGGCCAGCTGGTACAACAATTGGCCGAAAAGACAACGAATGTGGGCATATAGGACAGATCACCATGGCAGGAACATTCGGATGAACCATGGAAGCACCAGCTAGAGTCAGATCATCTAGACAATATTATAAAATCATATGAAAGCATACCAGCCATTCCATAAGCTGTCGAACCCGTGGGAGTGGAAATAATCAGTCCTAGATAGAATTTGGCGACTCTCAGCGTGACTTATTTTGCAATCTAACTCACCATCGCCTTGAACCTTGGTTATAAATTTATCGTTAATATACAAATCCAAGTTAGACAGATAGGAATTAGGTCCACGATCGATGACAACTTCATTTAGAACAAGATAAGTGTTGCCATGATCATTATGTTCTGTCGTTGTACCGTTTTCACCTGAATAAACCTTGGATGTATCTGGCGTGTCTTTTTGAATCACACAGCTTAAACGTGTTCGTAGCAGAAGAGCTACATTACCGGATAAGACTTCATTCAAGATTTTATCGTGGTATTTAAAATCGAATGGAGTCAAAAATCCCAATGAGCCCAATGAGAATGATAAAATCGGTGGACAAGTTTGTTGAAATATACTTGAAGCATGCAACAACGTACCATCACCGCCCAGACAAATCGCTAAATCGATGACTGATATGTCGTGTTCTAAATTTGATTGAAGGGAAAGAAAAGTTTCGATTCATTGTTAATACAAATCAATACCTTCATCGAAAATTTTGCATCGTTCAGTCACTTTCTCTTTGTCAGTTTCGTTCTTATCAAAAGGTAAATATGTCTCGTCGGATGAGTCTATGTAAACTGTCAGATCACGCTAAAAATCAGAACAGTTCATCTACTTTCGAGGACTATTTTTTTTGAAACATGCGCTACTTTTAGAAGATTGAGCACAAGTGTACGAAATTCTGGCACTGTCGATTGACCTGGCTTACGAATTATAAGAACGTATTTTGGCGGACAGAGCCAATGAAGCCGTTGAGAAGACGGGTCCTGAATAACACTATTGATATCGAATGATATAATTATGCAGAAACAGACATGGAATGCACCTACATCAGTTGGTTGTTATTTTGTATTTTTTTCAATGTAGCTTTTGGTCCAAAACTACAATGTGGTGAAGGCGCAAAACAAGATCGTGATCGTCTAAAAGCTCGACTAGAGTACCAACACCTTTATACTTCTCAAATTACAAAGTCACAGTTTCTACCTGCGCACTCCTGACGGTAATTTATCGGCATTTCTTGTGGGTACATTACATCCATAAATATCACTACACTCTTCTATTATATCACAAGACCCATCTGATATTCCTTTATTCATTCGTTGACCATTTTCTCCAAAAACTTCACCATCCAGTCTTTTCAATGAATGTTCATCGACGCTCTGTGTTCGCCGTTGTTGTAATGATAAACTTTTCGACACGTGATTTGCATCATTTTGATTCATGTTAATCCACCTGTATACACAGCTATCGCTTGGTAGTAACGTTTTCTTTTCAAATGGTAATAGTAAATAGACGTAAAGGACGAAACTCAACGAGAAATGCGAGTTATACAATCGACTATTATAGACACAGTAACGATAACTAAATAGAAAAGGAAGAAGGAGAAAAAAACGAAAGGTAAATACAGTATTTATTTCTTGAATATTACAGTACTAATCAATATCTTGCTTTCTACGTTCTCATTGTGTGAATATTTTGTTAATCACTAGTACGTACCTACTATCAATGGACTTTAATCAATGCACTGTGTTATTGACTCTCGTTTTTATGTAATGCGAATCAAAACACGAAAATGACGAACGATAAATCTTGATAGAGCCTGGGAAAAAGAACTCGTGCAATACTTTCTGTCATTGAGACTAATTTCAATGTCATTTCCTTTGATTCTGGTGAAATTTATTTCCAGATAGTGAATAATGTCTTCAAGAATACGTTACTCTCAAACGCTGTGTTTGTGACATATCATGAAAGTTATTGAAGATTGGAAGTGTTTGTAAATATATCAATAAAGATTGCGAGAATAGAAAGCGAGCATGATTTAATGAAATATTCCGTTCCTTGAAGGCTTTTGTTAAAAAAGAAAAGAGAAAAGTGATTGTGTGCGATGACGAAGCAACTCTATTTTTGCTCCTTGTCAAACAAATTAAAAAATAATGCACTGACATAAATCAGGCATCATTCAATGTAAATAGATGTCGACAACCTACAATCTTAATCCAGTATTCTCCTTCATGACATTAATTTTTTTTCTCCTTAATTTATTGTTAATAAAGATGTCCGTAGATCATATGAAAACTGATTCTTATCCACATTCGACCTTTTTACAGCCAACGTAGAAAGTTCGATTGCATCCTCCACAGTAATTTGCTCTAAACACAACAAAACACTCAATACTGACATTGAAACTTCGGCGGTGTTTACCGGCAGACAGCATTCGGATAGTTCTTGCATGTTGCACCTTGGCATGGATTAATCAAACAATTGACAGGATTTGCACATGCTGTTGTTCGACTAAGGACAACTACGGCAGACAGAATACCTTTCGATTTCGGTTTTTTTTTCTTTTCTTTCAACTAAATCTTACTCGAGGCTTCACACAAAACAAGCAAAAGAATGACCGAGAAAACGTAGAATTGTCGAGCCATAGTGAAAAATTCAATGTGAAATCGTACTCTTCTTCCTTTTGTATTTATACGTGAGCAACAAATGGACACATTACAAACAGATGCAGCCGTAATAATGCATTGATAGCAAAGAAAGAGGATGAATTTGTTTTAAAAAAACATTTATTTTTGTATCAAACAAAAGACATTAAGAAAAAAAGTCAATTGTCGTTGTTGCTGTTGATCATTGGATGCATTGATGATTGTGTAAAGCCACCGGACTTGTAACTTCATCGTTATCCAATCTATTCCTTCGACTACTGGATAGAAAAACGTCATCATTCATCAAGCATTGAATTATTCGACTCAAATGCATTTTAGCTGATGTCAGACAGTAGTCTCAAAGAACGGAAAGGAAACGACCAGTGAGTTGAATTGACGCTTCAAAACGATTTTTAATCAAATAAACGAATTGGTTTGATAACAAGATGTAATTTAGACAATGAACTGACACACGTTTATGAAATATGTCTTAGACTCAAAACTGGATCAGTGATGTTCGACAAATTAATTGAACAATCTGTCTATCTCGATCTCTAGAAGAAGGATGAAAGACAATCATGTCTAGAATGACTCATTTTCTCGATCACTTACATAAGTCGATTTTCTAACTTGTGAATTGAACGAAAAATTTTTCTGATTTGAAGCATTTCTTGCAAAAACCAAAAGAAGACATTCGTTATCTTGATCACGATAATCATCATAATGCATAATCTAATCTAACTTAATTCCATCGGTCAAAACATCGAAATCAATAATCATCAACAAAACTTGTACTGCTGTGCATTGACAAACACTCAAATCTTCTAGCCGATATCGAATTGCATCGATCCTTTCACTTCATCTTAAACCTAAAAAACCAATACTATACCTTACCCTTCTCACATTCTCGTCATCCCCGTGATGAATTGTTTCGTAAATCAAATCTCGTTTTTCTTTTCATTAACATCGTAACATGAATTTGTTGCAAATGATCAAACAAAAAAACAATCACCGGAACTTCTGTCGTAAAACAAAAATATCTTCACTAATAACCGAGGCAATTATAACATATTAATATCAAATAATTATAACGAGGACATACAGATGTCTTGCTCAAGATGATGACGGAAAAAGAGCATCGTGATTTCGTTCGTCTTTTTTTCGCAGTGAGCGACACGAGCGAGTTTGGTGGGTATTTTTTTTTTCAAAGTAACTTGATGAAGAGAGAAGAAATTCACGCAAACACAGTCGCATAATTTGCATTTGAAAAAACTTCTTTGCAGTGGCGATTTTTTTGTGTTCTCTGAAGAATGAGAACATGCTTCTCATCTTGTTTTTTTTTTCAGTAAACTGAAGAATAAGAGAACTAATCATGTGCACACATCCGACGATTCTTTCCATGTAAGAAACTTACATAATACAGAATGGCAACTAATAGGACGCACCATGGATAATGAATACGATTCTAACTCTTCGAAATCAAAAATGTTGATTTGAAATTAAGAATCTTTCATGCGCTTAACGACGAGAAAATGACGATCTTCCGATCTTCTTGAAAATAAACGTATTTTAAATAATGCATAAATGGCTTACGGTTTAACTTTTTTTTTCTTTGGACATAATCCTTTCAACTGTGTAATGCTTTGACTCGACAGGACGGATATTACGAACATATACATATATTGCGGCACTTAGAGAGTCTAACTACGACTCGTCTAGGCGTTGGCTGCCCACTTCCTGCATTATTTCGATCCAATTTCCACCTTCTCCTGAAAACGACGAATCCAGCCAATATTTATTCTACATGAAACTTTATTTTGCTTCTCTGTAATTTGTCATCNATGGTTATACATAGATCTTGTCTTTCTGCTTTGCTAGATACTAGAATAATAGATGGATACAATCTTCGACTGATAAGATAGATGATATATAAATATAAAAGAAATGTCAACAGCACCAAGATCAACTGTCGAAATAGCAGCAGTAGAGATCGATTCCTGGTTTTTGCCACGTGTATTCTATTCTTTTTCTCTTTTCCCTTATTAGACTTACATCTTCTATTAGAGATATTTACTTCCGTTAAGTCGAAACATGAGCGTGTATACTTGTATTATACACGATTAGAACAAAACAACATGACGACATCAAATCATCTTCACCGTAACAAGAGAGCTAAATTGTCGTACTTATAGTAAAGTATGTTGTTCTGCTCAGTTTTATTTCTGATCATAATCGCCAGACGCCAATTACTAGCGTTAAATGTAAGTATGAATGAATAATCAAACGAAATATTAAAACAAAGTTTTACTCATTGAATGAAACAAATTCGCCTAATCATCGAGACATGGACAACGAAAGGAAGAAAATTGAAAAATAATGTACACATAAACATCTCTAAAATGTCTAGATTGTAATGGTATCAAATGGTAAAGAAACAAGAGAAAGAGAGAGAGAGAGAAAATGACGACAAGCTGAGTAAATTCATTATTATCATTCATCGAGTTTTGAATGTGACAGAATATACTCATACGCCCTCATTTTCTGTGTTTTTCTCCTCCTATGGTTTATTATTTATTCAATTTCTGACTGTTCGGATGTTTTTCTATTTTAATTTGATCTAAAAATATCGAGTTTTATTGATATAAAGCATGTTTTCCCATCGTATTCATTTCTAGATTCGATTAAACAAGGAATTATCTAAACATGTTATCTACTGAACGTCGTCGAACGCATCGATCAATGTTACAAGCGCCAAAAATTACAAATATGCTAAAGCATTCGATTCTGGGTACATTGTCACCGGAGACGTCCATTACAACGTCAAGCGGCTATTCGACAGGTGGCTCTTCAGTGTCAACGACAAGGAATACATCGTCGAAGAAACCATCGCCATCAATTGCTTCAAAACAACAACATCAGCAACAACACGAACAATACGATGCCAAATCAAAGGGTAAGTCTAATAAGGGAAAAGAGAAAAAGAATAGAATACACGTGGCAAAAACCAGGAATCGATCTCTACTGCTGCTATTTCGACAGTTGATCTTGGTGCTGTTGACATTTCTTTTATATTTATATATCATCTATCTTATCAGTCGAAGATTGTATCCATCTATTATTCTAGTATCTAGCAAAGCAGAAAGACAAGATCTATGTATAACCATTGAGCTAATTTGTTGTTAGAACAAATCATTGGTTAGGATTTTTTGTGTTTAACGCAAACAGACTCCTTCTCTCTCTCTCTTTATATATATATGTATTATTTTCTTTCGCTTCGACAAGCTTAATCGAGAAAATAACCAGACTATTTTTCAGGTTTCCATCATCTTTTCTCAAAATTAAAAAACTTCCTCGTACCGTCCAAATCCAAGCATACGCGACGGGTCAGAGTGATGAATTCCCGACAAATATCGTCAACGAACATCCTTCGTCAATACCATCAACAATCAACCATCTACGATGTACTTCCGTCATCGCTTGTTGCAAGTAACACAATCTCGTTACCATTTACATATTATCAAGATTCACCAATTCAACAGTCAAAGACAACTTATGACAAAATATCAGCATGGCTCGATCAGCAAGCGAAAATAACGCAGACTGAACTCGATCATCAAGATTTACCGTATATTCATGACAATCAGCAACAGTCAACAACATACACAGATAGTAAAGGTAAAACAAATCGAATTTCATGTTTTGTTTTCTTCTTCTGATGAAATTTACTCGAAGACAACGAAAATACTTGACTGTGATATATGATCTTTCGCTACTACTCTCAAAATCTCGTTCGTTTTTGCTTCTCTACACGATTAGAATTCGACGCAAAAGACGTTGACTCATATCTGAAGTGTTGATCATGGTGTACAATATGACATACGCATTCGTATTACTTTGCTGCCTGTCTGAATGTTAGGAGAGCAAGGAAGAAACGAGTTTCAGCCAAAGAACAGAAGAAATAAAGCAAAGCGAAAAATATCTACGTTATTCATCAACTTCAGACTCTCTCCAAAGACTTCAACGCTAGTTGACAAGCATTGCTTTACCAACTACAAGGTACACATGCGCAAGTAATGAAAAATGTGAGCTATAACAACGAAATTTTCTCTTGTTTTTATTTTCTTACTTCGAAAGTCTATATGACAACATTATATTGAGACAGAAAAAGATCGATTTCTTTTTTTTTCTTTTGACAAAACATCATACTTTCATTTTAATCAGACGACTTTCCTACAGACATTTCTTCTCGATTAAATATATATTTATATTTATATTTATATCTTGTCCTATATTAATTTAATAATTTTTTTCAATACTCAGACGTGTTGTAGCAACAGAATAGAAAATGTTTGCTTAGATACAGTCAAATACTTCATAATAACTTCAATCCTTCTTCTTCTTCTTCTCTTTCTCCCTCTCCCTCCCTCTCTCTCTCTTCATGCTCTCATGTTGTCATACAATACGACGTGTGTGACAGATTTGTGTACAAAATTCTTTACTTGTACTCAACTGCTGTACCTACCACTTTGCCCTATTTAAATACTGCAAATATCGATAAACTATAGGACTCCGAACGAAGAAAACGACCCCAAAGTAAAACGAAGTGACAGTTCTTTCAAAGTAATAGGTACATTTAAGTTACGTGTCTTTTCATGTTTTTTTTTCAGTGATTTCTACTGTCATGCGACAAACGCCAACAAATATTAAACCACCACGACGAAGTTCATCGTTAGTGGCACGTATTACTCGACCTATTGTTGAACATCAAGCTGAAAAATCACTTTCGCCATCGTCGTCATTTTCTTCATCGATTCTTACGAAAGGAATGACCGAGAGAATGACACCGTCACCAACTGCACCACAAATATTTGACAAACGATCTTTAAAATCAAATCGTCGACGTACAATGGATTTTTCTCAACGACAATCGACTATCGATGTCGATAAACATAAATCCAATAAGGAAAATCAATCACTTAAACATACAGATAAATCTTTACCAGGTGTTTATCAATTTCCTCCTTTCTCATCAACGAACAAAAACGAAATGTCGTTTCAATCAGCGAAACATGTCGTCGCCAAGAAATATTATTTTCATTCAAATCCAACAAAATCCGTCGATGAAGATTTATTGAATAATTCCTATGGATTGACACTTCTCAATCAACAACAACAACAACAACAACCTCAGCAACCACGGCCAAGACGTTCTGTTGGTGCAGTTCTTATGATCTCTCAAGTTCCTAATCAAGTCTCGTCTCAGAAAAGCGTTCATCCGCACCAACGAACATCTATCCCTCAGCAAACAATGGACTCTTTAGATGATCTCTTATGTGATCGTGAAGTTGAAAGTTATTTTTATCCAATTCCTCAGTCGACATCCGATCATGTCTATATGAACTTGGACAATCCATCGGATTCTTGTTCGACCTCCTTGTCTTGTATACATGGTACTCTATGTTAAAAGTTTTTATTTTAGTCCTTTCCTTTTCTTTCTTTCTTTTATTGTCGTCAGTTTTGTAAATAAGCGAAGAAAAAAAAAGAAAGTTTAATTGCATTGAACACGTTGTCCAGCAGCGTTGTAAAATCGTGCATTACATCCACCGCAATAATCAGCACTAAAGCAACATTTCATAATATAGTTATAAGCACAACAACGAAAGGAATTTCCTGTTAACATACCGGCATCTTGCTTCTGGATGATTTGGGCATTTAGCCAAACCACATGGGTCCATAAAACAGTTAACCATGACACATTTTCCTACGAGAATTCCATCTATGTAGATTTCCATTGGAAAAATCTTCTCCTACATACTTGCTTCGACTTCATCAGCTTCTGTGCCTGAATGAAAACGAGATTTAATGAATTATCTTTATCCGATTTATTTTCTGACACATACAATCAACACGTCGACCACCAACAGACCAGATAGCGTTACAACCACCACAGTAGTTAGCACTAGAAACGAAGAAGTAATGAAAAATTTTAGTACAGTTTAATGAATAACTTACGTGCAGACAGCGTTAGGATGTGCGGCACATCGAGAGAACTACGATTATTGGTTAAAAGATAACAAAACAAATAAATGTCAAAGATTTTTATGAACATACTTGACATGGATTGACAAAACAATTGACTGGATTCAAACAAAGTGAACCAAGTGAAAGTGGTTTGGCGGCAAAAGCCGAGACTAAAACAATATGAGCAGTAGATGTAGACAAAACCCAAATGTTTCTTTTTTTTTACCAGAGAGAAGAACAACGAGGGCAGCAACGATACAGAGCTTCATTTTCGAGTGGGCACTTGAAATTTAGCAAAAACAAGAAGAATATCGAGAGGTATTTATTTGATCAGCAGCAATATTTGAGAATCGACACCAGATGTTCGGAGATAAGTGTTGAAATTGAAGATTGTCAGGATTATTTAGCAGTGTTTTTTTAAAGATTAAATGCAATCAGTATATCGAGTGATTATTTAAATCAACGAAATGTAAGTTTGTTCTGATAATTCCATTTTCTTCTTCGATTTCACACGACATATTAATCAACGATAAGAAATGCGACGATGATATTAATTTGCTTATTTTCGATTCGTTAGTTCCATTGAAACAACAACAACAATGTTTGACCTCGATATCATCATTGTTCTCAAAGGAAACTTCAGAATTGAATCGGATATGATGCAGTTGATACAAATTCTGTTGATTCAGATTAAAAACAATAAATTCGTTCGATGACGATGTCTGTAGAATATCACAAAGGTAATAGATCACATCATCTGTTTCTTTTAATGTGATAAAATGATTCTTAATCAATGGGTTCTGATAAACTCGAACGTTATTCAAAGCAACATAACTTGATGAGGTATAAAAACCTAGCGATTGTACTGCATCTGCAGACTAAAGATAAGAAATCGTAAAAGTGAAGGCCACGAATGAGTAATCTTACTGAAGTTTCTTGTATCTCAAAATGAGTGATCAAATCATTGCTTTCTGCTGACAGATACAAATGATGTTGGCGTTGGTTGAGATAATTACTCCACAATAGTGTTTGGTCTCCTTTCATTGTGCTTGTTGTCAGGGTGCCTATCCAAGCATTTTGATTTTCTTTCACGAGAAGAATCAGATGTCCTTCACATTGTGAAGTGACCGGATAGTAATGCCAAGCTAATATCTGATAACTCTGCTGATTTTCGTCAAAAATGACGAATATTTGTTTATAACTTTCTTGCTCAGACAAGGTTTGCTCATTAGTAATAATTGACATCGTCTGACAACTGACTGTACGTTGACATCTAAATGATGTAAGAAATCGAATTTGGAAAGGTTAACTTTTCTTCCGACTAAAGTTAATGATTTACTTGATCAAAGGCGACGTTTCCGATGAGAGTTGATGATCACATATGGTTTTGATCGAATGTTGATCATCGAATTTGATATCCGAAGTCAAAACCATCGAACGAGATACTGAATTCATGTGAAGATTAGATGAATTGATAATCGCTCTTAGTCGTTGAATTTCTTCCGCATATTGTTGGAGAAGTATGTAAGAGGAATTTTCATTAATGATTGGAGTATTACAAATGTTTTTCGTTCGGGATGCGTAACTAAAACATGAAACGATGGAATTCTTCGAATGTGCTGTATTTCTCTTGCAATTTACCGTAACGTGCATAATATTTCTTCGTAATTATCTTCCGACGGCGATATACAAGCAATCATGATTGTTTTGGTTGTTCCGCCAATGCTGTCTTGCAAAAGACGTGTTAATTTGGAATCTCGATATGGTACATGCGTTGTATGCGTATGTACTAATGAGGAAATAACTTTATTTAGTGCTGATAACGAGAGATTGATTTTAGCTGATTCGAGTAATTGCTGTCCGCTCGCACCCGTTCTGACTTGTCGTTCGCTTCCAGCTTAATAGTGATCAAAATCAAATGCACTAGACGAAGTAAGGCATGGGTTGTTACCGAGATCAACGAAGTTTAGTTTGCCCTGTCGAAACGTTTTTGTTTGATTATTGTTCTGATGTTGAATGGAAAGTGAGAACATCGTATGCGATCGTGATGAATCTCGATTCATTTGTGTTGAGCCCATGGTTCGAGCTAGATCACCTAGCCGTTTGAACTTCAAGCATTCATCAACGGAATAAACAGTCTTCCATGTTAAATTTGTTATCTGAACGCCAGATGAACGGGGATTTTCTCGTAGTTCAAGACGCGAGTGAGATTTCGATGAAGTGCGCGGTCGAAGTAAATCATGGAGTTCTTCGTTATAAACTAAGTGAAATCTTCTTCTAACCTGGATTTTCTACAAAAAATCAACACTTCACTTTCTAAGTAAGCACATTTTATCGTAAATTCTTGTTCTAAAGTTGATTGATGTTCATGAACGAGATTGAAAACGTGTTCGATTGCATTCGAAATCAGTCCAACTTCCGAATGGCATGGACAGCCTGTCATCGTCCACGATTTCCCTGTGAACATCAGTAAATAAGTAGGATAGTCATCGACAAACAATGTACTACCAGATCCTGTCTGTCCATAGGCAAAAACTGTTCCAGAATATCCATGTATTGTGGCATCACATACTAACGATTGAACAAAATCTTGAAAGATATGTTCTGTACGTTGATTTTCATCGTAGATGGAATCGAAACGGAATAATCGAGATATTCGTCTTCGATATCTTTTCGGACTGATCAATTTAACCACACACGGCGTCTTTTTCGCAGGAAAATCTTGAATTTCAATACATTTTATTGCACGACTAAGTATCTCTTTTTGATTAAATGGGCGACAACGTATAAGAACTTTGACACTTTCTGATTTTTGTGAAAGCATAGTTAATATTCCAAATTAAAAAAAAAACTTTTATTCAACTCAGAATGTGAAATGAGAAGAGAGATAGCAAAAAATAGATTTATATACACAATGACAATTGGCGCTCGAGATTTGGATTGGTAGTTTCGGAAGCACACTGAGATTGATTGACAAAAAAGTATCGATGTAATATAACCTGAGTTACAAGACAAAAGAAAATAGACATAAGATTGAATTATTTTCCAGTTGAAGTAAGAAATAATCGTTGTATCTGACTTTCTAACTGTCGACGTGCTCGACGTTCTTCTTCCAGTTCATGTTGGAGACTTTTAAATCCTAAGCGAAGTTCGTTCATCATATCTACCAACGCACGACGTTCCCTAAATAGAACAGAACATGAAGTAAATCTTCAACATCAAATAACAAACAGTATATATTACATATCAGTTGGTATTGTCACGCTAGACGATTGTGCAGGTAATAGTGGAATGTTTGAATGGTCCAAATGGGCATTTGATTGTCCACTGACTAATGATAATGGATGATCAGCATTACTACTAGCTGCACTCGTTATTCCTGTGAGAGAAAAATAGAAAGTTTTTTTTTATTAAATCATGTCAGTAGTTTTACCAGCTGTTGACATTGAATGCCGTGCTTTAGCGATCAGAGTATTCAAGCCAGCAATAGCAGTTCCACTGTTAGTATTCGTGACACAATAGGCTTCGATGACAGATAATAGAAGCGAATCGCCTTCACTTGTTTCCACTAAATAGAAAGCGGTGTTCATTCTGATTTAGTGAAAAGATATAATGATGCGTACCACGTTTGAGAAACTCATTCGCTTTGGACTTTTTCATGGTCATAAAACGTCGAAGTGTTCGATTTGATCCTGTTTCATTCGAACCTCCAGACGGATCATTAATGCCCATCCCACCGCCTCCGGAAAGGATTGGTGATCCAATTAAATTTGTACCAGATGTCGTCGTTGAAGAGTGACTTGTCAATGCTCCTTGTTGACGAGGCCGCAAGGGTGAATGTGGTCGAAGACATCCCTTTGACCATGCAACAGGTGGTATGTTATGTTTCGTCGGCACTGGTGATTGAACTGGCGTTCTCGATGAAATGTTTCCGGAACTCATTGGTGATGACTTCATCATTGTATTAGGTAATGATGATACCGACTAAAAAGCGAGGATGCAAATATGTGGACAATATCACTTTTTTGTCGTACTTTAGATACTTGTTGTGGAGTATATGGTGCATTGAGATGATGATGCTGAGTTTGCGGTGACCTTGGAGTTAATACTGAGCAGAATTTCTCACACCATTCCTGATATTCCACTGGACTAGGAAACGTGATGATCATTGATTGATTTGATGGAGCTAGGAATAAAAGTTGTTTCTAAATATCTCTCTCTCCAAAACTTTTCTTACCATTAATTTTTAACGCTCGTTTGCCTAGAATATTATCGTCTACGATTTTACTGACAGTAATTTGATTCAATAAAAATCGATTCTAAATAAAACATTTTGCAAGAGATGACATACACGTTTACATTCGATTTCGCCAACCTCGACTTGATATTCTTGTTGTGCACCCGACGATGTCGTAGTCGAGAGCAAAAAAAGTGTTGATGGATACAATATTGCTATACGTTCCAATGCTATTTGCCCAAGATTTTCCGAGAGGATATTAACAGGACAGAGACAAATTGCATCACCATATGAACTTAAAGACTACAACAAACACTTTTTCGATCAATCAATCAACTTTCTTCTCCTCTCATTATCTCGGGATTTCTACCATGACCAATAGCATTTTAATCGTAAACATCATACGCTTAACGAGCCATTTCTTCTTCTCATTAGTCATACTATGACCAAAATGTTTCTCTCGGAATGAAAATCTCCAGACGACTGGACTGTGCGTAAAGGAGAAAAAAAAACTCTCGCCGTCTTACTTCCAAACCGAGTCCATGTATCGTACTATGAATGATATCAAGTTCCCATTCTTTACGTTTACGCCATTCAGCACCGAGACACTAAACGAATGAAGAAAGAATGAGTTGATATGAAAAGAAACTCTCTTCTTACAGCTAATTCAGCATAGTATTCTGCTGCTCGTTGTGCATCGCCTCGATCAATATGAAATTCCTACACGAAGAAGATAAAATATATCCTTGATTGCGAATAAAGCACTGATTTTACTTCAAGATTATGCAAATACTCTTTAAGTAGATTGGCGTATTTCTCTAAGCGATTCAATGGTAATGAAAGGTTTTTAATTAATTGTATATATGAATGATTAGCATCCATTGATGAATCAATTTTAGCTAGTACATTGTAGACTCGTTCTCTAAATGTAAATGCAAATACATACAATCAACAGAAGATATTTGTAATGTAATCATGTACTTATTATGATTGAGTAGAAAGAGAACTTTGGCATGTTGGTAGCAATATATTTCAAAAATTGATTTCAGACTCGGTGCTAATTGAAGAAATATTCCACCAATGCGATGTTGTGATCTAAAACACCACGATTCGTTAGTTTAGAAATGAAACTGATCTTCAAGTTTACTTCGAGTTGTCGCGTAGAACATGCAATAGATGACGATGAAATTTGATCAATTCATCCAGCATGTGAACATCGAGATGGAGATGTGGGATTTGTCCCGACCTGAAGAAAAAAATTCGATTGATATTGGAAATCATTGTGTAAGATGAAGAATTTACGTTGAAAGTGCATGCGCCAATGGCTGGATAGTTTTCTGAACGAAATCTTCCAATTCATTGATATAACGTTGTTCACCTTCGAGTAATGCTTCGAGAATCTAAGAACACACACATATATATCGAAAGAATATCATTTTCAAAGAGAGATCGATTGTCAATCGAAGCAAACGATCATATCGATTGTTAAAATGTCAATGTAAAGGTCAGTGAAAGTATATCGAAGTGTAATGTTAACTGATGATCATAACAATTAACACTTATATAAGAGAATATTCGATCAACTCGATAATTTCATTTTGATAATCAAAATCTCTTCCAAATTGCCCGCACTTTGTTGATAAAACATTCTCCTCGCTGATCTATTGTTTAGTTATCATCGTAAAGATCAACTGGTCTATGTTGATGTATCCATTTCTCGATAATTACTTTGATGTCTATATCAACCTTTACTCGATAAACTTTCTTACGCTCATTTTTTTTTCGATATTATGTAATGAAAAGTGTTTTCATCGTTTGCAAGAAAAGATTCGCCATCGTAACTAACCGTTTCTCGATGAGTACGCATTTCCGCGCATTGTTGTGACGATGCACTTTGGGTCGATGGTGTTGAATCTAAACAGAAATCATTTTCTCTTCATTGGAATACACAACTGATCAAATCAAGACTCCATTTTATGACTAGCAAATATGCTTATGTCGTTATCTCAAAAGATTAATCAATGATTATACCACAAGTAAGTTTTTCTACGTACGTGTTCTACAAGCAAATATTCGACATGATACACAACTTGTTGATCGCATTGAAGTAGAAAGAAATGAGAGAGGAATCGACTATTGATAATAATAACTAAATCTTAACCACCATTAGTACTAGTATTACAACTACTACTACCATCACTGTCGGTAAAGTCGGAGACGCAGAAAGAGAATGATGAAAAAAGAGTTCTGTCGATTATATCAAAGAACGAGAAAGAGAAACAGAAGTTACAGCCGTCCTTCTCCTTCTTTTCTTTCTTTCTCATCTACCATATACTCCTGCTGTTTTTCTGATGACAGACATCAACGATATTAGTTGTATTTATTTGTACCAGTAATCAAAGTGACAAAATCGAGAGATAAAATAGCAAACGAACAAAACTAAGATAACCTTCGAAACATGTGCGTAATTGGAAAAAAATCATTTATCTTTTTTCCTACCTATTTTTTGTGCCAATTGTTCAACATAATTCGAGGGAAACCATCCGGTTTTACCATCCAACGTTCCTTCCCACCAACCTCCATCGGTGGGTGCTTGTGTTATAATAATAACATCACCCTTTGCAAATGATAACTAAATGGAAAAACGATCAGAAACGTCGATATCAGATCAATAGAATAATAGAATTAATCCTATCGGAAACAATGTCGTTCGCTGTTTGCTTTATCTGATATGACGTAAAGAAAATATATATATATATTCGTTGGAGATTTCTTCTCTCGAGCTTCTCAATTAAAGGTCAAGATTTATTGCTAGACAAGAGAATAATCATTTGATTAGTGTATTTACTTCATCTGTATTTTGTGCTTTGAATGGATATAATGCGGTAACTACGACTTTTCCTGAATGATTGCTCTGCTCCATGGCAATAACCATCTATCTGAAAGAGAAATTAGCTTTTCAATTTAGCATTCGTCTCGAAATGTGTCAATATTTGATGATCCCCGATTACCATATTTTACGTAAATTCCATTTCTCGTCTTGGAACACGATAAAATGAAGTGTGTGAGATAACATTATCTTATCTGGTGACATGGAATAGTTTCATCTAGAAAAGAACAGAATAAAGGATTTCATCGATATATTTGTTTTTGTTTTTGTTTTTGTGAAATGCATGTACATCAAATAGAGACTTGATTATGATTACCAGACGACAATTTGAAGGGAAAACCCGTAAAAGACACAACAATAAATCAATGCAAAAAAAGTGACAAAAAAATAAAAGATATATATATATATGTAAAAGACGAAAACGTGATCAATGTTGTTCATTCATTGGAATGTGAAGATTGATAATGGAAAGAAAGTACAAAACAAAATTCACTTCATTCTTTACACGACCGATGACATATCCCAAATCTAAAACAAACAGGACAATCACATCTCAAAACTTCTCCTTGTTTCAACTATATCAGTTGTGACATATCAATGACATTGATGCTAATTTCAACCATGAATCTATCACTCTTCAATACATCGTAATCCAATCTTTTCTATTATGATCTCATTGACTTCCTTTTCTCTGGTGATCAGTGCTTCTTCGATTACTATCAGTAATTATGTCATCTATCCATAAGGATATTCAGCACCTAATTTTTGTAGAACTTCGCACATACTCGATCTTTCATCTTTCTAACACGTTCTCATTCTATTCGTTGTATATAGCAGAGATAGAATCGTGTTCTGCAGATAACCTTGCTATTAATGATGTGAAAGGAAAATTTTGTATTCGAAACAAGAATAGGCAAGTTGAGCAATCAACATAAACAAAACAATGAGTAAATGTCATGTTTGAAGTGCATTTTCTGTTTAGGATGCTCTCGATGTTATAATAAGCACAACGTACTTTAATTGTTCGATCTGTTCCAACCGTCATCATAACCTTTTTCCCTTGACTATAATCCATTCTAATTGTTCCTTGACGTGCATCATAAAACGAAGCAAGTGGTACCGTTCTATAAGCAAAACAAAATAAACAATCACCATAAACTAATAAGAACAAAAAGATTGTCGACTTACTCATCGTTTCTTAATGTACGTACGCAATCATTACAAACACGTTGAACTGTTTCGTAACCTAACAATGGTAGAGCGGTACGTGTTTGTGAACATTTATCACACACAGCTCGACCACATTTTCGACAATGATGCTAGAAAAATCATAGAGAATGACGATGATTATTATCAGCTATTATCTAAGCAAGAGACCTGTCTCATTCCAATCTGCTTTTGCGTCCACATTGCACGTAAATTCCAAAAAAATGGTAAACGGCATATCTGACAATAATCACTTTCAAGCCATTTGGGTGTTTCACTTCGCTTAACATTCATTGGCCATACACCAATATGACCATCAGCTGAACAAGTGATTAAAAGTTTGCGTAAATTATCGTACGATATTCCAACTAAACGATCTGAATGACCATTCAATTCAACAGCTAGACCTTGATGAGCACCTACATCCCACACAACTACGGATGCATCGAAACTACCCGAAAATAACCACTCTGTAGTTGAATCCCATAGAAGATTTTGAATACTTCCTTGAAAAACGAAACAAATTCAACGTAAAACAAGAAACACATCAGCGTGTGACCTTACCTGTATGTCCTTTTAACGTAGTAATCACTTGGCATTTGTTATCAGTGTCAATTTTCAAGAAATGTATTGTTCCATTCGAATCCCCCACAAAACATTGTCGAGATGATTCATCAATTGCTATTGACATACCCCATGAGGGCAACGTGTAAGTTCCAAGTACATGTTCATAGTTTTCACTGGATGCGTTTGTGCAATACCAATTGAGCTTCTTCTCACGGCAAACGCTTAATAGTAAATCATTCTGTGGCGAAAACACAATAGCATGAACACGAGTCTGATGGCCGAGATAAGTCGATTTCAGAGTGACTTTATTGAAATCTTCGGCGACGAGAAATTCCTAAAATATCAAAATCCATCAACGATATCATCGAGTAGAAATGTTTTACATGTAGTAGACCAGAATCACAGCCACAGAAAAGACGACGTGTTGCCTCATGATAAAATATTGCTGATGGCGTACCTAAAAGTCATTAAAGAACAAACTCTCTCTCCTGATCATATTTCATCGATTACCCTCTAATGTATAGCAGACAGACGGCCAATATTTTCCTGTTTGTCTTCGCAACCAAATACGCAGAGTTCTAAAAGACACCCATTTCAAAGTATAATCATGTTTCAATCAACAATGAACATACCGATCATCAAGTGCTGTTATAACACCTTCTTCAGATGAAAGTAATATCGCATCGTTAATAGTGACTTCAACATCAATTTTATGCGAAAGTTCCGGTCGACGAACTTTGCCTAATCCTTCGTCAATTGCTGCTGCCATGTAGTTTTTTTTTCAAACAATTAAAACACGACTGAGAATCACTCACCTAATCTTCATCAGACAAACGAATGAGTTATTTATATAGCATTCGTTGCTAATCAGAACCAATCCAAATCGACAACTACGGTCGGTAGATGGCTTGATTAATCATATTTCGAAAGCTAGAAACTGTTAGATTAGACTTGAAACTATTTCAGGGTTATATCAATCTTTCTTTGCACAAATCAAACATGTTCGAAAGCAATAATTGATTTAATTAATCAAAGCAGACTGTTATTGTTGTTGTTACAGAAGATATGAATGACATTTTGTTTTAGTTCTGTAGTTATTCTAACTGACAAAACAGAAAAAAAGCTAATCGATTGATTAATGATGTTTACTACGAGTGTGACACGTGAGACGGAAGTTTATTTTCGAAATTAGTCAAATAAATATTTATTTTTTATCGGATTTATCAACAACGATGAGCAACAACACCACAAGTCATATCATATACACAAAGTACCTATGACTAATCGCAACGAATTTATAGTGTTATCTTATCTCAAGTGAACTTTATTCAGTTCTGGAATTCAACTCGTTAGAAAGATAAATCTTATTTAGATACCTGTTCTATATATTATTGTACGTGGATCGATATACGAAGAAACAAAGTTCTATTGTCACAATTTCGTGAAATATGTACTATATTTAGTAAACTTTCTAAAATCATAAGACATTGTCTGGTGATTCAATATGAATCATTCGATAATAATCTCATACACTGATACACATGACAATATAACGAAAACGGATGATACTCATTCTTTCTCACTTTGCTTGGTTATTTAAAAAGAGTAGATAGATATCCTAATTCATTCAAATAAAAGTAACATAAAACATAATACAAATAAAGTTAGCACCATATTTGAGTATTTCTTGTTTGGATTCGCTTGAGAACTTCTCCTGAGACTACACTGACTGTGTTAAATTCAAAAGTTAACTCTCCATTGAATGGTCTAGCTCTAGAAGACGTTCTCCAAAACAAAATCATCATATTATTTACACACGCTCAACGATAGATATGATACAGTGGCATTGAGTCATGCTTTTGATAAGGAACGGACCATTGAAAGAGTTTAAGATTCTCATTCATCTAAATTTCATACTTCTACTGTTCTGAAACTAGAATAATTCTTGATACCAAATGTGATAATAAGCGTCATCTATAGACAGTAGTCTCATTTGTTTGGTATGACTCATGTTATGACAGAAGAAGAGTAAGAGTAAAACTAGGGGCAAGTTTTGTGTTATATTTCATTCTTTTATATCTTTAACTCACCTCAAAAACAATGGCGGCATATCAAACGAGTTAGAAGCACATTTCTTGGCTAAATTTTGTATTTTCTCTATCTTTTGCATAGCTTATACCCATTTCCATGAACTCATCGATACATGGACCAGACATGCTCAATCCATTGAAACCCAGGGTGAACATCATATTTGTACAGTTGACATCATTTTATTTTTCGCCTGTTTTTAGTCAAAAACCTATCTGAAAAAGCACGAGTGCTCGGAACAGCATCAGACACAGTTGAAGTTCGTCAACGCCTGTAAATTCATTTGTTTCATACGATGACAGATGTCCATGACCGGTTTTTGCTCTGCTAGAGATGAAGACGAACAACGCTTACATGCTCTTGCTACGAAAACAAAATCTATCTTGAAAGAATTAGCAGATGAAATGACCAAGAGAAAGAAAGATTTACAAAGAGTACGTCTTTTCTCGATTGATTATGAGATTTCTTCTATGATTGCTTCGCCTTCTTCATAGAATGATTTGGAAATGGTAAACAAAGTTAAATCTGCAATGAACAGTGCATTGAAGCATTATGGAGACGTTGTAACTGTAAGCTAGTACCTGTTCTCGCAAGATTTTGTGTGCAATATCGTCAATTGAATATAGGACATTAGCAAAAGACGCCAACAAGTACCCAATCCTAATCAAGATACATTGATTGATTTTGAAAATCATGTAATGTATAACAAAAGATACGCTTCGAAGTTAATATTGTATTTAATTTAGGCTTTGACGGAAGAGGACGTTCGTCAACGATTACAATTACAGTACATAAGAAAATGCCTGAGTTTTTTAAAGCTCGTATTTGAATGTTTTAGACGACAAATGCAAATGAACAACGATTTATTAGTTCGACAAAATGAAGAACAGTTCGCTATTGAAGAACAAGTACAAACGGTCCAAGTAAATACTAAAGCCTTTCAAAGACTGTTGATCAATTAATGGCATCTTTTCCATTTTAGACTGATATTATTGAAATCAATCATATTATGCGTGACATTGGTGCGATTGTTTCTGAACAATCACCTATTATTGCTAACGTTGAACAGACAATCATTGCAGCCAACGATCATATCATTGCTGGTAATGATCGCCTGACCAGTGCTGCAAAGTATCAAGTAGGTTGAAACTTTCATCTTGATGATTATCTATACATTCATTTCGATCTCTCCCTTTTTTCTTAGAAAAAATATCGAAAGAAACTCTGTTGTCTTCTGGCAGTTTTTCTCGTCATCGCAATTCTCGTCGTGGTGATCGTTCTGATTAAGCTGAAAACATAAAACGCGTTATTCATCAACAAAAACTTTAACTGTCATAGATTTTTCCTTTTCATGTTATTTATTTTCATCGATGAAATGTACAGACAGATTTTCACATTCTATTGCATTTTTATTAAAAATTTGATTCAAGATAGTTTCGATTCTTTCATTTTAATTTTGTTTTGAACATAAAAATATTATCTACAATGATATCGTTGTCTGTAACTATGCTAAAGTGTACATCGATGGACTGTCCGTATCTCTCCTAAGTCTTTGAATAGTTTGGCTAACGACAAATATTGAAGTATCGGATAATATTTTGATAGTTCATGAATACAGCACTCGCTCGATATCTATAAAAACAAGTCTACAATTGAAATATGAACAGAAACACTGCTTTACTGAATTATGTTTCGTTTGATATGTGAATATTAACGAGTGAAAAGTTGCAAATACGTATGATCTGTGGGTGTAACGAATTGCATCGTTTACATTATGTTATTCGTGGTAACTAACGCCATCTAAGTAGACGTTTCTTATTTGCTCGATATGATTTATGTTATGACAGAAGAAGAAAAAAATAAGGAAGAACACAAGAATACGGTCAAGTTTTGTGTTTTTTTCCTTTCGTTATTCCCAGCATACCTTGGAGACAATGATGGTGTATCTGCATCTTACTAATTCGAATTAGTTCACCTTTGAATAATCGATCTTCTCCATTCTTTTCTAATCAAGCAGACACTTCCATGAATTTACTGATACATCAGTCAGATGTACTGAAGAAATCGGACGCAGAGACCTTTAGAACGCTAACTCCCACTAAATTCGGGAAGTTTAAAGTATCAAGTAAACAAGATCATTCGTTTTCAATTCTCGCTACAATCTTCTGCTGAAACGAATTTGTGATTTTATCTTTGTAGATAAAGAAGTATATTACAATGGCAACAACGTCTATAATTATGTTGAGTAATGCGTCTATGGAACGTTTGTATCTGTCGCAACCGCCGGGATGGAATGATTTACAACGGCTACCATTCGCACCACCTAGTCAACAACAAGATGGTCAATCAGGCTCTCAATTGATTCGTACATGCTATGATAAACTTCTTCACCATATGTACGATATCAATTCGTCGTCGCCAACACTAACAATGAAACAAATCACTGAACAATTAGAATTAGCAGCTGAATATTGCCAATTGAAAACTTATCAACATGACAATGGAAATGTTTATCTTCATTCGGAACAGTTCTATTTAGAAGTGACTTTCGATCCATCAACACGACTACCAGTGAAAATTTCCATCGCATTTACCAATGATCAACAATCGAATGAAGAACGTTTCCTCTGTTCTCGTATGTTAAAAGCCTTAAATGAAAAGCAATACAAATTATTTCGCGAACATCTAAATGGTTACGCAAGTCTATTTACACTAACTGCACCAATGATGAACAATGACAAGAGGATCGGCCATACAGCTTATACCGTATTTCAACAAGATTTAGAACGTCTGAGTAAAATCGATACGTATGCGAAATTATTAGAAGGTTTTCAACCGATGTGTGAAGGTCTACCAATGAGAATTCAATTTGATGATCAATGTAAGTAAACTAATTTGATTAACATTCAAACAACGAATAGTTTCATTTTCTTCAATTAGTCATTGGTAATTCTTCATTACCGAAATTCGTTCGGATCATATTAGTTCCCAGTGCAACGCAACATTATCTACCAATTAAATCTAATATTCATATTGATGAAAAAACGAATACTGTTCATTTTGATGCATCTCTCAAATCTAGCCTTTCTGCTACAGGCCACTTTGCCTTGGAATTTGATTCCAGTCAACCCTCACTCAAATTTCTTCTATCATATATTCAAGAAATCAATCGTCTAACGAATATCACAACCTTTCCATCTACTTCCGAAACGTTCAACTATCTTTCCACTTTGTTACGAAAATCGAAGTCGATGTCACCATATCAATGGTACATTTCTCATGACCAATCAGCAATGTCCATTAAACAAATTCCATTCACCAGTGTTAAACAATTCCTACATATCCTGAACTTGATTCGTCAACAAATGTATCTGACAAAATATTTAGATTACTATTTCAATCATGAATACGATCAGGATCATATGGATGACGATAGTGAAGATATTTCACTCGAATTATCATTTCTATCTTCAACTGTTCTCTCGATAACCTGTGCCCAATCTTACCATTTAGCCACATTTTTGCTTCATATGTCAAATAGAAACGCGTTACCATTGTTAGTCAATCGTGCACAAGACAAAGAAATTCATTTAACTGAAGATCGACAGTCGTTGGTGAAGATGATTCCGCAGCTTCTCAAAGAAGATAATGCGAATCCATATTCAGCGATAACAGATGTTGATGTAAAACAAACGAATAAATTTCCGGAACAAGTGACTCAACCAGCTGCAATACCGAAATTGAATCGACGTTTATCATGTGGTCCACCTGCAAAACCTGTATGGCGACGAGCAACGACACTGCGTCGAAATCAACCTGCTTGTTTAACATTAGCATCAATCGATAGTATTCTGGAAAAAGTCGATGACAACTTGCCTGCTGAAGATCATCAAGAAAATAATATACTATCCGAAGATTTTCCCGATGATGATGCCTTTATAAAATCACCTAACCCTCAACAACAGCAAACATCTCAAAATCATTATCCTCAACACTTATTACCCAGACCATCATTGAGTTTCCATCCATCGGTATTAAGTCGCTGTGGATCAGTTTCATCAACTCAATCGGTTTCTACACCGCCAATATTTGGATTGTCACCATCGACTCCCTATCCAGGCGGATCAACTAATCCAAACGGAAATGTCTTCTTCCCGTTGGGAAAGCAAGTCTCTGTACCAGAATATAGTCCAGTTAGTTCACCTATTACAATGGGAACATTTGATCCATCAGCTTTCCTACCTGCAAGTGGAAATATCTCATCCAATGTCATGTCATCGGCGGATCAGAACAATAAGGGACAACAAAAGAAGAAACGAAGAAGATCAGAACAATCCAATGACGATTTCATTCAAACATTGAGCAATAATCCTAATGGTAAGCATTTGCACACATCGTATAAGAACGTTGATCAATTGGTGATACAAAAAATAATATTTCGTGTCATTTAGATAATCGATTACCGATGCAACATGCGACGAAGTTGACGTCATCGGGTGGTGATCCTAACAGTGCTAAGCGTGGGAAAAAGCCAGGAGACAAAAATGTTCAACAACAACATCAACTTGCTCGACAAAAGTCAGCATTTAAAGTAACGGACGCTCCATCAGGAACGTTACTCACGCAACAATCGATCACATCACCAGACGATACATCCAATGAATTGAAACCTTTGAAAGTTGTCATAAAACGTGTCGGTGACGGCGGTAATTCATCCAATGATGAATCTCAGCAACAACAATCAATAAAACAACGAAAGAAACAATTACAACAGCAATCTCTCAGCAATCCTGGCGGATCGATGTCATCGACAATAAGAAAACTGCCGTCGAATAATGCAACTAGCGGTGCATCACCATCTGTGTTAATCAAAAGCGAGAGTCTTGATATGTCACAAATGAATTCAGATTCCAATACAATGATGGCATTGACAGATGGTATACAACAGTCACCACGGTAATACATTTCTTTTCCATAGTTTGACGCATGCAAATTGATCTAAACTAATTCATTTGTTTTAAATTTATAGTGAACGACCACGTCCATCATCGTCTCTATCAAATCCGTCCTCAACATCCTCTCTCTCATCGTCAGCATCCTCACAACCACGATCAGTTCCGCCCCAACCGCCTATTGTTTTGAAAATTCAACGAAGTAAAGTTTACTCTGGACAAGATCAATCCTCTGCATCATCTGCTACTGCGCCAACACCGACAGCAGGAGCATCAAATACTATATCACCTTCGGTAAAAGAGGTACTGAAGCACCGCGCTCGTTCTATGCCTTCCGGTGCAAATATAAATAAACCCCATGTGGCGTCGCCACCACTTCTTGCCTCTAAACTTACAAGTCCATCCGCAGCAACAATCAGCAACCCAATAGCGGCTGCCACAACAGCAGCAACAACAGCACCGCCACCACCACCACCACAATTTCGTATTCCAAGAAAGTCATCATCACAAGAAGTGACTGCAAAGTCTAAGACTGAACCTGGTACTATCAGTAACAGTATGGGATTCTTTTCGTTTGAAATAAGAGACTACTACATACTCTCATCCTCTCTTCAGATTCAAGTCCTGGTCTAGCAAAAACTCCGTTGTTACCAACACCAGGTAATATATTCGTAAACCAATCAATAAAATCAATATAAAATATATTCAGGAGTTCGTCCACCACCACCACCGCCTCCATCTCAGATCGGTAGTTGGCAATCACCACCGACCCAACAACCATCCCGTTTTCATCAAGCACGACCGCGTTCTTCCTGGTCACAGCAGCAACCGTCACGTGGTCGAACACCTATCACACCTCCGAATGTAGCAGCATATACGGGTGGTCACAATGCATCACTACCAAATTTCTCTCAACAACCTAGATCAATTCTTAAAAAACCGCCATCAAATGAAAACTCTTCAACAGATATGCTCTATATTCCTTCAGCAGATCTACCAGGTCTCAACGAACAACGTTCTGGAATGAACTTCTCCATGCCGTCATCATCATCATCAACATCTCGTACAACAACACCACCCGGCATGTACGATGACGGCGATGATGATTCATCTCCACAGGTACCGTATTTTTCATTATACAAAATCAATTAAATATCGTTTTGATTGTCGTCGATCTCCTAGGCGCAATTAGTTATTGACACAAGTAGTCACCAACCAGCGAATGTCCTTCTACCGTACGCCAACGTACTTGGTTCAAGCTCATCAGGTATGGATAACTTTGATTCCACATATGAAAATAATAATACCAATCAACAACAACCAAGTGATGAACCCTTATCTAATCTAGACTGATCTATGAAGTTTTCTTTTATTTTGTATTCATTTTGACATTTATCTTAAATCTATCTATGTCTCTGTATGTGTACATATATATATCTAGAGTGATAAAATAAATCGTTTATTCATTAATACGAATACATTTACATAATGGAATGTGTGTTTATTGACCAAAATCAAGAACTTCTCTTTACTTTTTTTCAAATTCTCATGAGTATGTCTCAAGTGATTGCTAAATTAATCAATGAAATTACATCTAACAAATAAATGTGTATACCATCTGGAAATCATCGTCGTTCGCACAAAATAAAGTTAATGAAATAAAATCCACTGATTCGAATGTGTGAAGAAAAACTTTGTGTCGAGCGTTATTGCTTCTTTCCTTCGACATTAATCGCATTTCATAGAGGACAAGCACACTTGCCTCTGAATCAAACTAATCATCTGTCAGCCGGAAGAATACATGCAAATTACACGTACTATCCGAGATCGATTGTTATATGAGGATTCTAGAATACGACAGAATTATTCTAAATAATCAGCATTAATAAAAAAAAAGTATTCCATTGTCCTTGACAGATATTGTAATCCTAATTGAAATTATGCTGATTAATTCAGTAGAATACACGAAGAAGCAGAAAATCGCTTGATCAATCTATTTTCTTATCTCTTGCGTCATATTGTTCCATAAAGTTGTTTAAATCGAATTATATTTGTAAATATTCATGTCTTCTTATGAGCTATTCATAGAAAGACATAAATACTACAGATATCAATAATCTCAATTTCACGTCAGTTTCTTTCCTATTGTTCAGAAATAAATCAACGATAAAAAAAAACTTACATCCGTTTCTACGTGATAATTATCCTCGTTAATCTCTTTTTTCGTGGAGATTAAATATAGAAAACATTCGTTTCTCTTGCAGATAACATCCTCATTTAGATAGACAACTGTGTTGATGAGAAGAAAGTTGATTTATTTCGGGACGATATAGGACCGACATCAATGATGTATGCGACATCGACGAGTGGATGGTATTTTTGTGTGTCAGTTACAGTCATCATTTGAAGCGAAAAACTAATTCATAACAGTCGTGTCGACGCAAACTTCATGAAGACGAGTAAAAGAGGGTTAGAGAGAGAGAGAAAGCAAATGGGACAAGGGATTCTCTTTTTCTCTTTCATTTTATTTGTCGTTCTATGACTTTGTGCATGTGCTTGCATTCTTTCTCAACGACTGTTATTACTGTAATATTGCTCGATTGAAAAAGTAAGTGTAGGAGAAAAAGAACGATATTCAATCAAAGCAAAGTATTCGGTTTTATAGTAAAAACATATATAACCTCGCATGCTAGCAATGTTTACTACTCAGTATGATGTGAATATACAAATAAGTATGTCATATTCTCATTATATTCATTAATTATTCGATTTTTAAACACAACAACATGGCCTTTTCTTCGTTTTTACGTACACTGACTAGTGCAAAGTTGCTAGTACCGAATACGTTAGTTCGCTGCCTCTCGCAAGTGAATATCTCAGGTAGTGAAATCTCGGAAAACAAAAACAAATTAAAAATTAGTCTTAATCATTCTAGAATCCTCATTAGCCTTCGCTGACAGTATACTAATTTTGTCATTAGTACTTCCATCACGACAGGAAACATGTCGCTTTCATTTAAATTTGCAAACAACGACTGTAGGTCAATTGGTTGATGAGATTAAATCCGAAGATGCTGGCATTGAACATGTGCATATATTTGATAATAATGGTCAATTACTAGCGAAATCTTACGCAATTCAATCATTAATGCGTTCTCCATTTACGATACAATTGAATAAACAACGTACATTTCTTTTTGATCCAATCAATAAATTACAAATCAAGGAGAATCTAACGAGATCAAATCGAACTGATGGCCCATCAACAGAAGATACGATCGGAGCGCTTTATAATGCCTTGAATGTCATGAAAGTGTATCATCGCAAATATCATGAATTGAAAGCCGAAGCAAATGAATTGACTACTCAGTTAGAACCATTGGAAAAAGTAAGTTGATCAGCAACTCGATATTTCTCGTAATTAAGAAATTATATATGCCATTCGTTATCTCACTGATGAGAATTTAATCTCATCGAAGAAAAAAAAAGTGTTATTATTCAAATGAAGCTTGTTTCATTTTCTATCTTAGATCAAAGACAAACTTGCTCAAATATGTCAACGTCATATATCTCGTTGTGTGTGGTATGGCTTGGCGGGTATGTCGCTTCAAGTCGGTATTCTTGCTGAACTCACATGGGATGTGTATTCTTGGGATATTGTGGAACCAATGTCGTATTTTCTTGCATTTGGTACGGCAATTGCCTTATATTCATTTCATTTGATGACTCGTGCTGATTTTGAATATATGACTATGACAGATCGGTTGTTTCTGCGGAAATTTTATAAGGAAGCAAAGCGTCACGCATTTGATATTTCTCTTTACAATCGCTTGAAAAATCGCCTATTTATCGTCCATACCGATCTGGCTCGTCTACGAGCACCGTTATTATTATCATTATCAGTCCCACCCAATCCTCTCAAATGTAAAATTAGTGGAGAAGAACTTATTGTAAATAAAATTTTTTTTTCTCTTCCATGAGGAAATACAAATAAATAGATAAGAGAGAAAAACGAACATTCGTTAATCGATTTGATGTTATATAAATTCATGGATCAACAGACAGAAGACACTAATTCACATTCTTAGAACGGTTATATACCATTGTTCTCGTACATAAGCTGCGATTAATATTTCGATTCTTTTGTTTAATATGTCAATAATAATTAAAAAGACAATTTTCTCCAAGAAATAATATATCTTTCTTTTTAAGTTGATTTTCAAATCAAAATCGTTCATTTTACAACTCTTCAAAGCACATTCTTTTCGTTACATCTCATTTTACATAAGATTATTTTGAAGAAAATAAATATTTCAATAAAATGCCATTTCGTGTAATGATGTGCTTCTGTATTTTTCAATAACATCAAAAGTTTTGTATCTTTATCAATCATATTCAATGTTAGTGTGAAACTACTGTGATTATAAACTAATCTCAAACTCGAACAAATCCTCTCCTCAATTTGTTGTTCTATGTAAGTGAATATGTTTTTCTCTTAAGATTTGTTCAATTTATCAGACAGCAATATAGTCTTCTTTATATTCGAGCAACTGTATGTGAATATCTAAATGTTCTTTCTTCTGTTAAAAAGAGAAACATCAGATTACATCATCTTTCAATCCATGTTTTTGTAAGAAATTTTTCAGCATGTCTGGTGTGATAGATTGTCCAGTCTTCACTCTCAAGATCATGTCTTCATCATTCTAAACGAAAAACATGAAATTAGAAACGAAGAAGTTAAGTGGAAAGTCAGTTGTGTCCAATTAAAAGCAAATAGGTCTGCTTTCTTGATTTTACAATCAACATATTATCTCGATTTTGATCTTCTTGAAAATAGTGTTGATGGAACAATTCATTTTTTTGTTGTTTTTTTCTTAGTTCAACATGAATGAAGACTTTTTATCTTCAGCTATAACTACATCCGTATAAATAAACATATGTACTCTTTATTTATAATTAATTCAAAGTTTATAAGATCCGAAACACATACTTAAAATGAACTATTGTCAGTTTATAGATGAAAATTGGTTAGAAATGTTGGTGTTAATCACCTACTTCAATAAAGTATGCTATCGACTTGTTCTTGTCGATGTATTCGAAGTATTCTGTTGATAAACAAATGGCTTTCATCTTACTTAAATACTATAACCAAACAAATAATTTACATTGATATGCATTCTTATCATCTCGTAGATCATTAATTCAAATGTGATATATTTGCGAAAACGTCAGCTTCTACTGGGAAGATCTATTTTGAACACTTTTTCACAGCTTCACTCGGTCGTGTATTTGAGCAGAATCTTTCAAACCTAGTTGTTACTCGTATTCACGATTAGGTACGATCCGAATAGTTTTAGTATTTTCTACTTTGTTTACTGTATATAGATGAACTTCAAAATATCATGAGCTAATATTATCGGTGCTAATGTTAATGGAAAAGCATGTTTACGTTCAAGTTTAACCGGCATTTTTCCATTCTTTTTCTGAGAAATCAAACTTTCTTTTGAATGCTAAAGGAGAAAATACAAACAAATAGACAGATACGAAAAGAAAAGAGAAATGAACAGAGCACATTGGAGTATTGGTCAAATAATTCAAATGTTATACAAAGAATAACAACTGATCAATAGAGACCACTAACTCGCATGCAACCAATTTCGATAAGATTTGTGTCTTACGTTAGTCCATTGGATATTTACTGCACAAGACATCGTAGCATATCATAATGAATTGTGATTTTCGAAGTAAACTTATACCAATATACAAAATAATCTCAATTTGTTTATTTTCAGTCAATATAATCGTAAAGTGTCTATTATATAGCTGATGATATTCTGTGTTGCTAGTTTTACAAAGAAAAGGAAATCATGACGAAAAAAAAAAGATGTGTTCGTTTTCACAAGCACAAATCAATATATTCCCGGCCATACTTTATATGGCACTAAACGACAGTATTTATCCCAGGCATGACCGTATTTTAGTCGACACTTTTGATCATCTCGATGTGCACGGTGCATTAGCAATATAAATAGAATAATAACATAAAAATATGGTAAAATATGTTGTAGACCGCATGGATATGTCCAAAGAAAGGCTAAGGTTAATTCCGGTATGTAATGAAAATGTCTTGAAAGCGCCCAATAGCCCGAAGCTAACAAAATACTTTCATGTTCTTTACCGTTCAATAGACGATATTTGGCTTGGATTGTTCTCGCTGGTTTGCCCCACACTAAACATTTACCTTCTGTTGATCGAACTTGTATCTTTTGTCGATCGCAATCATAGTTAATATAGATCGAGACAAGACCTAATGTCAATATGATTGCCGTTGATGTCCAACCGAGTTGATTGGGATGTGTGACGAGAAAGTAAGATGGAAGTGTATATATACCAGATACCCATACGAGACAACCCCAGCAAAGGTAAAATCCAGCGCGATCAACAATAATATCCATGGTTTTCATATAACCTATCCAGGAATAAAATTGCACTTCTTGTCAGCAATGATACAAAAATCTCGAACTTACCCGATTCCCACCAGAAAAATTTCGTTAGATAGACAAGTGTTAAAACACATGTTATAAAAGCACTATCTGTAAAGCCATATAATTCAAACGTTTTCATACAGAAAATCACTGTTAATAATGCCCAAGCCAACATTCCATAACGGCAATTAGTAATAAGTTTAACATCGACATTAAATATTCGTGGATACAATTCGACGCCACGATAAAAATCTGTTAGCCAATTTGATGACGATCGATGATCGTTTGTCGATGGCATATATTTGCCTTTCAACATAACAAGAAAACATAATAGAAAAGCAAATGTGCTGACAGTTGATAAAAACTCCTCCCAATGATCATAAATATACGTTGGAGAAAGATGATTCAATTTCAACAGAAATGTTAAGCTTGCAAATAGAATTAACGAAACAATGTAATAACAAAAACCATTGTCTCGATAGATGGGCACATGTCCTGTATCCGTCACCGGACCTTTATATTCTTTTCCAGGTAAGATAATGGTCATAACAACAGCATAGATTAAGAAACTGATTATAATGATTCCCGATGGCCAATGCCATTCGAAATAGAAAAAATCTTCTAAGATATCTTTTAAGGTTACCGTTTGACTGAATAAGAGACGTCGAAAGAATTCAGAAATAGATCCATGGCAATGTGTACAGATGAATACAATCGATCGAACGAGAAACGGACATGCAAGACACAAAAGTAATGGTAAAATCGATTCCGAGAGCAATTTATTCCGACCTTGTCGAGAATGAACTGATAATTGATGTGCAGAATCAGTGTTCACCGATGCACTGGTAACTTTTCTTGATGTAGATTTCTGTGCCTGACTACTAGTAGACATATTTTTTCGTCCTTTCGAACTAAACGAAAAGCAAAGTGAAGAATAGATTTTTTGCCAGAGGAAAGTTTCTGTACAACACCATGCGTAAACAAAACATGTAAATAAAGAATAGAGGTAAATTGTCTGTTATCTAATCGCAATAATGCACGAGATACTATGCAAGATGATAAAAATACTTTTTCAAAGATCCAATACAAAATTTGTTTTGTTCTTCAACAATGAAACTCATTTCGTACTCATTCACATCTTGTGATTGTTGTCGAGTAATATCACTGCGTTTCATCAAGTGCGTAACGATTATTAAACATACCCGATAGATGATTGTGTTTCTTCCACGCCTTCTTCTTCCCCTGCTTTTGTCCTTTTGCAAGAAAAAATACCTCGTCACAAATACCAGAAGCACAATTTCGAGTGTTAAATGTCTCCTTATCTCTTTCTATACGCTGACAGATCGACGAGGCTAAACCATCCGCTCTATACTCTTTTTCTTCTTTTTTCCTTCGTTGTTTATTTCGCATGATAGCAGAACAAAACATAGATGCCCTTCTTTTTCTTTCTCTTTCTTTATTTTTTCTTACCAATGAATGGATGATTCTAAATCCTCTTCTTTTCTTTTCAACAAACGCATTCCAGAGATTAAAAACAGGAACAAAAATATATATGTAACAAAGTCTATTAACCCTCATATAAAAAAAAAGAAGTATTCGATAGCTAAAATCATACACACATAAATATATATATAGAAATAAAAAGTAGCTCTGTATTTGTTCACAAAATATGGAATGAAAGTATTATCGGTATAAAAGAGACCAGCACAAGAAGAAGAAGAAGAAGAAAAGAAAAGAAGTTAGCATAGTAAAAAGAGATTCGACCGAGCGAGCAAAAAATATTTCCATACACGACCACATATATCGACATGCATCATGTTTCATGGCTCACTGTAGCGCAGTAGAAAAAAGAAGGATTTCGAAGGTTATTCTTATATACAAAATAAGTAGATTTCTTTCATTTTTTGATTACGTTTGTTTAGCGACTATGAGTAGACGATATACTTAATCCACTCGGTGTGCGATTGTGACCAGCACCATCTGGAAGACCATTACTTTTCTGTTCACGTTCTTGTCGAGTTTTCTCTCGAACGACGAGCTCGACTTGTTCATTATTGGACGGACGAGCTAATGCATAGAAAACATTGCAATGATCGAGAATGAGAATTTCTAAACAAGAAAGTAGATGATTAAATTTTCGCTAAGACTACAACTGAGGAGAATAAATTACTTCGACCAGGTAATCTTTGTTCAATACAGTATCGATCATAAGTCGATGGATTCAAACCGAATTTTTCCAAAATAGTTTTCAATACACTGGTTGTTCGTTCGTCATTTTTTATCTAAATATAAAACGTTGATTAGATTTTCAGTTGAAAAGCACTTGATGTTCGAGTAAATCGACATTTCCGAGCAACAAAAAACTATTTCCGTGAAGATTTCTCTTCGCAATAGTATCCATTATAAATAAAGAGTTAACAATCAACTTTATACAATGCTCAAGCTGTTTTCTTTCGCCTCAATGCAAATTACACCGCTTCTCTTTAAGTGTTTCATAGTTGAGAGATTCTGCCTAATGACAATCGCCAACGAGATAAAACCTGCAAGTTCATTTGTGACGTCATGTCTGAGTAAATTTTACTTACGCGAACTTTTTTGTATAGTAAATCATCTTTGCCAGCGAATTGAATCTTAGCGATGACTGATTCGCTTTCGGTGGAATTGGAAAGACCTACATTGGTACTTATAGTTGGTGAAGCTGTAGCTGATCCATATCCCTGACTTGTACTACCATTTGACGATGTTAATAAGCTTGAAACTGACGAAGATCGTGAATGATTTACACGGGGAGTCTGAAATGATTGCATAGAATGAAAGGGAAAACACAATCAGAGTTTTGTTTACCGGCATATTTTTGATTAACTGATGTTGACGAAGGGAGTTATTGGATGTGATGCTCATTTTGTCTAATGATGTTGATGATGGCGATGAGCGTAATGAACCATTCGAGATGATTGTCGATTCTGTATTTCCACCACTTGCATTATTCGATGTGCCCAAGGAGTCCAGTGATACTTCAGATGGAAATCGTGGAACAAGACTAGTAAGTCGAAAAATATTCGAAATTAATATTTCATTTTCGAAGTACAGAATGGCATACGCTCGAAGTGGTTGGTTTCCATAGGTTTTGCAAAATTGTTCTTGAGGTGGACAACTATCAGGTGTTTCTTTAGGTTCGATTCGATACGATATATCCCAACTAGACAAAATTTCATCAAATGATACTCTATGATTCACAAAAAAAAGAACGTTATTCTCTACCTTTCGGTATCTGTATACGTTCGAACATTGTCAAACCATGCTTTAAATCGTGGCAATGATCGAAGATCTGTATATGCATTAGCAGCGGATTGAAATAACTTGATCTGAGCAAGGACTTCAAATTGTTTTCGATGTTTTTCAAAATGAATTAATTTCTTGGCCGGCGATCCATCATTTTTTTCGTTGTTTATAGTATTTGGATACGCCGAGTCGATGTATGTCAAATCACTGAGATAAATGCCTAAATACGGCACAGTACCAACCACAGCCTATGTGAAAAAGCAGTTCAACTCATCTTTTCTCAGAGCGAAGGAAAGTTTTACCGGTTTTGGTTGATCACGTGACGCTTTATGACGAAATTTTTTTCCAAGCGTTGCATTGATAGCCGTATTTATATCCACATGCTTCGCCGTACCTTCCTACAAAACAAAAACTTCCACTGAGCAAATGAAATTCGATGAATGTTGTGCTATGATAAAAGAGCAGAATAATCTAGATATCATGCATGCTACACATTTCACCAGATTCTAATTTGTGGGAGTTTTTTTTTCCTACAGCGAACGAGTAAAAAAATACTAAGATGCGGTATGTGTATACAAGCAAACAAATAAAATAGCGTGCAAAATAGAAAAGAAAAACGTTTTCAAAAAAGAAAATTTCAAACCTACAGTGTACTCCGGTAGAGCAAGACGTAGTTCGTCTAATTGCTGAAAGAAGAAATGTTTAGTTTTCTAATATGTATATCTGATCTAATTTTTATAAGAAGATGTGAAACTGAAGACTTGGATTACATTGTCAACGAACTTACCTTATCAAGTATAGCTCGCGCTTGTTTTTTATCTGCACAACTTCCAAAAACATTTTTCAATTCTTCTAGGATTGACCAGTGATCTTCCGTAACATGAGACCATGCAGTGTTTAGCCGATAGATACAACCAGACAATAATCCATTCAAAATCGCTGTTAATGAAGAAAAGCTTCTCAGCCTTCGACATTCGTGTGCGACATCGATCCATTTTTCGATGACATTTGCTCGAGTTTGCTCGTCTTTTTCTTTGAGTATGGTGGCAACGACTCGAGTAACAATAGAATTGAAGAATTCTATCGTTTTGTCAACAGTTGATAACGATCGATTGGAACTGTTCGGTAATCGACGTGAACAACTATTTGTCGAAATTGATAAGCATTCGTACGGTAAAACTCGTTTCAATAAATCCTAAAAAAGCGAGAGCATTCGAAACCATTTACGTAAATCAGCAATGAGACATACAGCATCGACTAGTGTCAATTGTTCAGCAATGATTGTACTTGAAATTTCAAGTAGATTCCATGGGATTAAATAATCAAAACCTTTTTGATAACTTAAATAATTCTTCTTTGAATTATTATTATTATCGATATCGGATGTCTGATGATCTTCTTCATTTTTCAATTGCTCCAATAAAGTATGACTGTGAATTCGTACGTCTTCGTCTGGTAATTGTGACATCAAATGATTCAACGTAGAATAGTATGGCGGTTCAGCAAAGTCTTCTTTGTACGTATTCAGCAGACATATGATTGCTGCCCGAAGACTCCTGAGATAAAAGAAAACCGAAATATGCTTCACGAAACTTTAATGGAGATATTTACTTGAGAGTCTTCCGTCGAACATCTTCAGTCATGTCCAATGAAGCTGGAAGAACATTTTGATATCGAGTAATGATCGTATCGATTAACGTTCGTGTATTCGTAAATGTCCGATAGGTTGAAAATAAGATGTGCATATGTGTTGTATCCAATTCACCATCATCGTGCGTTAAATATTCGATAAGTTTTTCAAGTGTACCAGCTTTTAATTGATAGATTTTTATTGTTGAGTAAAGTAATGTACCCTGGTCGGTTGTGTGAGTATCACCGGATGTTTTGCTCTAGAGAAATCAAAGAAACGATCGAGTTAATTGTGTTGTTCAATGATCTTTCAACAAACCTCATCGTGATTGGCATCATTAAGTGCATGATTTGATTTATGTCGAACACGTTTCAGAAAGATTTTGAAAATAGCATCATCCTGTTGTTCTTCGCCAATCAGTTGAGGTTCTTGGTTAGTCTATACAAAAATTTAATGTATAAATTCTTTAACAGACAAAAGAAAGTCATCATTAAAACATAGCGAACATGCATGACCATCTACCTCGTTAGTATGAGATTGCTTAGCAGGTGAACGATGCTTATGTAATGTTCTACGGACATCTAATACGAGCTTATGTACAACTGCTTTGCTATCTAATGAAATCTGCATGGTTCGTCCAACGGATGATGATCGACGACGACCATGTGGTGACCACGAACGATACATTGGCAAGGAAATCGGTGGATGTGATCTCCTCGCTGGTGCACTGTCTTGCAAACCGTAGGAATGAACACTTGAATCGAAGGAATTAATATGCATCAATGACGAAGATTACGTACGAAGAACGTGTGATAGATAAGTAGCGAACGAGATTGTTAACATGAAGACTAGTGGAAGTTATTCTGACGTCAATAATATTCGTTTATTTTATCACTCTAGTGTTAGAAAGAAAAAAACATTTTTCTCTTATCAGTGTGGAGCTCGATCCCTTCTCTTTCATCATCATCATCATCATAGAACATATCTTCGAGATAGTTTACTTCAAGTAAGTATATTAAACATCCGACCTGTCAGTTCGAAGGCTGCTGTGGAATTATCCGAGGGTTCGCCGTAAGTGTATTTAACTCGTCAAAAGAAAATTTTGATGAAAAAAAAAGAAGCGTAGCATGGGAAGCATTAGATATGATTCGTGAGAATCATTCTTGGTAGAGCTTGTCTTACTTGTTCTTCTGAATATCTCATCGAATTCTCGAGAACGCAAGGTTTCTTCTGAGAAGCTGGTGACGAATTGTTCGTCATGAATTTTTCACTACTCTAAAAACAATAACGATCGAAACCTTCAATGACAAATTGAAACGAGAAGCAATCGAATTAGAACCACAATTATGTATGCGGAATTTCACTATATTGACCATGCGTGCACATACGAACGTAACAAGTTATGTTCTTCTCAACGATTGTTTAATCAAGGTCATTGTAGATTACACACGTGAAAGTAAGAAATGAACGTTTCTAATGACTTACGAAATATGTTGGTTCTAATTGTGTATAAATATTTTGTTGACTGAAACTTGCTCGAATGGTTTTATTAATAAATGAACCAGTTTTTGCTGCTAAGGCTATTCGACGAATAGGCCGACGACAAAGAGACATTCGATGTGAAATGTATTCAGTTAGAAATGAAAAAAGGAAACCGAGCGAAAATTTTCGTTCATGTAAACGAGATAGGAAAGAAAATCAAGAGCATTTCTTAGATAACAGAACAGATTATTGAACAATTTTGATTAGAGAAGTAATAAATATCACGTGTCCTAGAAAAAAAACACCAAATATTGATAGGTATTCGCTTTTGTCAATAATAACGACACCAATGATTCATTTACCTATCATGATCGATCGATGTGATTTTTCTCTGTCTAGGATCGATTGATTTTCTGAAGACGTCAGTTTCCTAGGAATCCTTCTTAAGAAAATTTAGTAAATGAGGTAATTAAGAATAAAAATTCGAAATTCAGGATTTTTTGTTAATCAACGCTTGTTAACCAGCGACATCTATCGGAAAATCAGAAGACCGTGATGAAAGATTTGCACAATACACTTAAGACAATTGTAACTTCATTTCTTGATCTTTTCATTCGAACTGAATCAGATTATTCAAACTGTTTTCATATGAAATGATTAGTTACGCTGTTTTATTTCTGTCAAGACTATTCATCCTCAAGCGGAAATCTGTTGATTCAGAAAACTCGCTGGATGAAAGAAAATTGGTAACCACTTCGCAACTGATTAGACTCATTCATGCTCTAACAAATCCGTATAGAAATCTCAATCTTTGTTTCATGACTAATAATCCACTCGAAACTTATATTTAGAAACTAATACAAAAGACAAAGCCTGACAAGTTCCCTTCCCATTTGTCTTCAGGATAAATGTCCTCCTATTAAGTTCACTTTGCTTGCTTGCCTTTTAACTCAAGGAGCATCGTAAAATATACTCAGAAAAGTCAGAAATGGTCGAGAACTCGCTTTAATGAATCTGTAGAATGAAGACGTGTTTTTTTGGCTTTAACATTGAATGTTATTTATTTAAAAAGTTTTTGGACAACAAGATGTGTAACAATGTGTTTTGAAAATGTTCGTATCTCGAAAATCTACTGACATGTCAAATCGATTGATTTATCTCATCAGTTATCATTTTTTTTATAACATAAAAACGAGAAATCTGGGTGTGTTTTCGAAATAAACTTTGACATGCATTTCAATGTTCATATCTGAGTAGAGTAATATACACATAAATAAAGTCAATTAGAAAAATAAGAAAAGAGAAACCACGAATAAAATAGACTCTTCATGACTATTTTCGTTGACCGCTCTGTGCTTGTGCGTTAACATTGTTTTTTGTAAATACGGATGATGACGATGCAGCTGAATCAGTCGATGTCATCTTGAATAAACGTGGCGACGAGCCACGATTGGAGATTTCTTCTCGTGAACGCAATGCTTGCAAACGATACCAGTGTGGCTTATCATCAATGACTTTTGCGTCTGAAAAAAGAGAACTTCTGGAGAAACGGTCAAGTCTTATTTGATATTACCTTTGAGATCAATAGTGACTTGTCCGATGAAATCATTCGCTTTGAAACGATCATAATCCCAAACGGTGAATTCTAACATTTTATACTGCAATTCTTCTCGATGCATGTTTCCATAGACTACTGTATGATCCCAAACAGGATTTAGGTTTTTCGGAACATGTTTCGTTCGACGTTTGTTCTCTTGACTAAGAAAAGAGATACATATATGATTATCAGTTTTATATATTTTCATTAACAAGGAAGATAAATTTCCTTCCTGCTGTCAACTATAATATATGTCGATACTTACTCTCTTCCGGGGAGTAAATAGACTTTGACAAATGGATCCGAATAGCCATTTGTATCTTTGGCAGGCAAATTCTTGGCTTGAATAACTTGCACAACTAATTGTTCTCGTTCGCTGCTATGCCCAATCTGTAGTTCAATATCACCTACATAATCAGTTTCACGTAATTCAATCGACTAAAATTCACAAGAGAAAGAAATTAGTGTTTTTTTTTGTCATGTCATTTGCTTTCGAACATACATGATTCGGTGTATCCGGGGAATCTTTCTTTTTCTTCGAGAACTTGAACGAGCCAAATGCCGTCGTTGATGATTTTCTTCCTTCGGGTTTCTTGAACGCCATTGAAGCATCACCAATTGAGCTTCTGGGTTGTCGAATATCTTCCGATGTTCGAATAAATTGTTGTAAACGACGTGACGCATCCGTTGCAGCTGCACTATCAGTCGATGTAACACTTGATTTGTGTTCATGAGGGAAATCGGTCGTTGTCGTACCGTTGTTTGGTAGAAGACTATTTTTTCGGCTTGATGGCGAGAGAAAATACTGGGAAAGATTGTCACTCTCGTCCGATTCATTCGAATTCTGTCGGAAAATATTCTGATTACTACCAGCTCCGTTCAAACCGGGATCATTTGGTAGAAGACTATTTCGATGTTCATACAGTCGAGGTCGTTGCGATGGTTGATTGAAACTTATTGTATCATCGTTCATATATTTCTAGATTGAGAAAAAAAGACAATATTTGAACAAGTGACTTCTTCGTATTAAATAATTTACATTTTCAGATGTTGCGGCGTTTAATGATGTTTGTTTTACCAGAGGTGTTACTTCTTTTTCATGCGATCTTCTTGCCGGTTGCTTTCGATCCTGTTCAAATGAATTATATATATCGCCGTCAGTACGCTGTGGATTGGAGGTTTGTGCAGGAACTTTCATTGATTGTTCAGCGGACTTTGTTACTGCGATACGATGAAGCGATTCAACGGAGAAGAGACGTTCTTTTGACGAAACATTCTTTTTTCGAGCATTGTCCATGGGATTTGTATCATCTATTCCTAAGGACATTATTGTCGATTGAGATTTGACGACTGTGTTATTAGTATTCAAACTGTTGGGAGAAAGTTGGGACGTATCCATGGAATGCCTTCGCTGCATACTATTATCAACCATAAGCGAGTTGTGTGAAATAGGTAGTTTAGATGTGGAATGTTTTGATGATTTTCTATGCTCTGTCTTACGAAGTTCAATCGGAGGTAAAACCGGTGGTACGATGTGTTTGCTGAAATAGAAATATGTACGAATGAGATGTTTGCAGATGAGTGAGAACTTCTTACCTCCGAACAACGATCTCAAATTCACTTTGAATGGAATTCATCAGTTTTTGAACGAATAACGCACTTTTACCACGCAAAGATACTCCGCCGACTTCCAAAACTTCATCACCTATATAACAGCAGTCACAATGAGAGGTTCAGAAAGATTTGGTTGTCTGAAATCTACCTTCTTGAACAGCATTCTTTAGTATATTGTAATTTCGATGATGAGTATCAATATGTTCAATACGTGCTGTTACTTCTACACAATTCGGTATAGAATGTCCACCTGTTATGTGAAGGCCAAGATCAGTATCATCTAACCGAACAAAAACACACACAGTGTGGTCGTCTCAACAAGGGTAATCAACATACCACGTCGAGATGGATTGAGATTATCATGACTTAGAAGTAATTTTGAAACAGGAAATGAATATAGCATATCAGTACTTGTGCTCTATGAAAAAAACATTAAAGTCATTAGTGACTTGTTAGGATAAAAACCTTCTGTAATTTTGGACGAGTGACATTTGTCGTAGTTGGAGTTATTATACTCGCAGGTGAATTTGCTCGTGTGGATGATATTTGATCACTGGCATACATAGTGTTAATATGATGACCGTTGGTATTACTAGGTGACGATGAACCTTTCTTCTTCAGTTTCTTTTTCGTTTTAAATGAAGACGATAGAGTTGACATTGGTGGTGTGTTTGTTGTTTGGTCTCGTAGCTGTTTCGTTGGCTTTTTTCTCAGAATAATTTCCTCCATGGATGAAGATTGCTCATTCGTAGTTAATGTGACTAGATTGTAATCCGATGGATTACTATTACTAGTTAAATTTGTTTCTGTTTTGGAATGTTCTGTTCTATTCATTGAACCAATGGGATCATTGAGATCAATTTCCAACAGATCACTTTCATCATCGAGATTACCATTAGTAATAAGAATTGTAGGTGGGACAGCTGGAAGACTGAAACGAGATTCGGAATTGACGCGACGCAATTGTAAGTTATTTGTAATTGTAGGGACAGATGGCAGATTGCGTTTTTGTCGATGTATTGGCAGCATCATACGCTGAATGAGAAAAAAAACAATTAGAGCGTTTCTCTAGGTAGTTCGAAGATCAGCTTAATATTTATAAATTGTTTGGAAGGAAAATTGTCTATATAGGAAAGGAAGAAGGGAGGATGAGAAAAGAGAAGGCGGATGTAGTTTTTTTTTTAATGAAATAAGAGATCGCCTAGAGCTGCCTTATTAATCGTGTGAATATATTAGCATATCTTTGCTTGCAACTACGTCAAAATAAAAAAATATTCATCAAATTTAATGAATCTACGTAAACTAGATTGCCTCATCTTATCCGGATTATATTAATATAAGAAAATAAAAGTAAATATAATTATTAGCTATATACCTTTCCATACGTGGAAGCTGTTCGCTGCAATGGTCGGTGATCATCACAATAGGATTCTTGTATTGATGGTACTGTTGTTGTCGATGATGTTGACGAAGATGAAGATGAGAACGACGACGATGTTGTCGTTGTTGCGGTTATCAATAATAAATCAGTTAGATTTTCTCGTACACCGGATGAACGACTAAGACTTATTCGACGATTGTTATTAAATGATATCGGTACAGTAATGGGAACGTTGAGAGGAAGTTGAGAAGCTCCTGCACAAGTTCGAGCGACTGAAGAAGATTGAATAAACTGTTCATCGGCAGATGGTGATTCGATTTCCATCTCAAGAATCGAATCAATATCGATATTACTTCCAGATAAATTTGTTGGTTGACGTAAATTTGTGACAATTGCTTGATTCTTCATCTCGTTTACTTGCGTTGGTGATACTGGTAGATGTCGAGAGAGATTTGCGATTGTTTCTTCAAGTTCTTTAACATGATCGCGTTCATCATTATCGTCTTCATCGACATATTCATCGATTTTATATGTTGGCAGAGATGGCTCTTCGATTTTGTCGAGCATTTGATTATTATCAATTGCAGCAATGTAAGGACTTGGTCCTTGATAAAAGAAATCGTTCTCATCGATTTCTGTCAGATTATTTGATCGCGTTTTCACGGGAAATGACGATTCAAGATTTACTAATTGACACTGTTGTTGTTCCTCGTCATCGCTTATTTCTTTTTCTTCATTTTGGCCTTGATTATCATTCATTTTGTCAATGTAATGAGGAACTTCTAGATGAGATGCATATTCTTCCGTCAGCAAATCTGGTTTTATTGATTCCTGATCAATTCTCATGACGTTATCGTAGATTTTATCTTCGTCATTCTCATTCAGCTCTATTTGGACAGGAGATGATGATTTTCTTATCGACGTGCGCTAATCAAATCCGAAAAGAAAAACGATATTTGAAGTATTGAATGGCATCGCAAACAGACATTTCTGTTGTTACTTACAGGAATGGTATTGTTCTGCATTGCTTGAGCAATTTCTTCATCGATTTGACACTGAAGACAAATCGGCACATTTTCTTCCAATTTCTGTTGTTGCTCTTTATTACACACTTGACATCGGTGAATATTTATGATTGTTGATTCTAACGACGGCGACGAGGAATGTTCTTCATCGTTATATCTGCTAATAAAAGAAAACTCTTGTGAGAAATCATCCATCAACAAATTTAATAGATGTGCTCGATCACTGCTCATATATGATTTCTCAAATAGAATCATGTTGAATTTTGATTGACTAACGAAGGGAAAGCAAGGAAGAGTTTTGTCAAACTTCGTTATGAATAATCTTTTTCTAATTGACGTTTTCTCGCTTGTACGAGGAGTCCTTTTTCTTTGTTTTTTATCACTATTTGCGTGTTAGCTAAATATTTATATATATTTATGCTGAGAAAGAGAGAGAGAGAGAGCGAGAGACGGACACAAATTTAAAATGTCTGGGAAGTACAAAGCTATGGAAATGAAAAGGAAAAAGAATAATTTGTTTTATTGTCTAGTTTGACATGCATCACCTTTGAAGCGACAAAGTTAATTAGAGAATTTATCAAGAGAGATGATGTGTGAAAATCTTCGAAATAAGAATCTAAGAGATATGACTTTTCGTGAGATGAAAGTGAAACATGCGAGAACTAATCTACTTACATTTCAAGATCATCGATATTATCATTTTTATCGTTCTGTTTATATTTTTCCGCTCTGTCACTGCTAAAACTACTTGTCGACTTGGAGGATGAGGATGATGCCGACGGCGATAATGAGGCTGAGACTATTGACGCCGGTGGCGATTGAATTGTACGGACAACGACTGGTGGAACTGATACTTGTTGTTCGTCGACGGCTCTTGCTCGTCTGAGAACATTAGCGATATGTTCTTGTTCTTCACGATTCAGATGACTTAGATCGAGTTCTCCAGGCGATGCTGGTGGTGGTGGTACAAATGCATTTGTCACTTTGGAACCACGCATATTATCCATGGATATTGGTCTCGTGAGACCCATCGTCGATACTGATGATGGATTTATTGTAAAGTGTTCATTCGACGGTGTCAGCGAACGTGAATACTGTTGTGTGCTTGTCCCTTGCCTTGAAGATGACGGTAGGAACAATGAAGATGAAGGTGATGACGTTGCTGTTGTAGATGATGTTAAGGGTGGTAGCGATGGATTAAGATCGACCGCCACATCTTGCACCCACCTTTTCAATGAATTGAACATTCAGTAAGACAAAATGGGCGGAGGACGACTGAACGACCGGAGACACAATGACGTATGATCTGATGCCACGCTACAATCATATTAATTAAATATTCCTTTTTGATGCTATTGCACAGTGGTACTATTCTACAATGTTCCGTTCTGTCCTTGTCTTTTTTTTCTCTCTCTCTCTCTCTTTTTCTTTTCTCGGATACTCACAAGTTCAACTGGCAAACTCGTGTGTGCATGTGCCTTTGTATGCTCTAGTTACTTGACGTGCTTCCCTCACTTTTCCCGTCCAGTACGTCTCTCGATTCGCGTTTTCTCTTTGTTCTTCTATGTTTTCCTCTGTTGAGCTTTCCATCTTCTATCAAACCGCATCACATTTCTCTCGATTCTAATAGTCAGATAGATTTTTCCCCATTTTCTTTTCTCTTTCTTCATCGCCTCGGTTTTCATACACAACACTGAATGCTACCATTTTGGAAAAAAAAACTTCATGTAAAGACAGAAAGAAAAACGAGAGAAATGATGATGAATGTTCGTCAAAAAAGAAATGAGATCTCCAGAGAATTCACTCAAACTCTACTTCTTCCTTATCTCTCTATCTATCCGTATGCTTGCTCATTCTCTGCTTTTTCTTCGTTGTTCAATAAGAATTTCCTGTATGTTAGCAATTACAATAAGAGGCAATGATGATGACGATGATGAACTACTTAATTTAATGCTTAAGTCATCTGTCTATGAATCAACCGAGAAAAGAAGTCATTCGAAGAGCGAGAGAAGAAAATACGATAATCGCCTGTGTTAATAATTCGACGTAGATAATGATCATAGTCCGGAACAATATAATTATAAAGTTTGATTCCAGAAAAGAAATAATTTCAGTCAAAGAATTGATCAAATATCCGTTACCGGACGTCGATAGAATTTTGAGAATAATTATTCAAGAGATTTAAATGCAATGTCAGATCGGAATATTATTTTGAATAAATTGTCCATTTATTATTAAATCTGCTTATAATTGTGAAAGAAAGATGAGATTTACGACAATCTGCTACTGTCAATCATGTAATATAAGCTAAACAGACGAAATCCAATTATTGAGAGAACTTTATTTGTTACAATAAATCTGAAATTCAGTTTTTTGTTCTTGTCTTTTCGTCATTATATTTTGTTCTGTTTTAAATTACAAGAGAATACATATACAAGACAAGAAAGGTTCCGTTCATATATATATATAGAGAGAGAGAGAGTAATAGTAGTAGTAGTAGTAGAAAAAAGCATCAGTAGTAGCGGCAGGATCAGTAAATAAGCTTAACAAAAAAATGCATACACGCAAGAGACAAAGAGAGTACTTGTTCTTTCTTTAAAAAACTTCCATAATTATTAAAGCAAAAAGTCTCGCAACTACAAAAAAAAACAAGGAAAAGAAAAACAAAACGAATAGAAAAGCGATTCTCATTGAAAAAAAAAGAAAAAACACGCAGTTTGGCACAAATAAATGAACGCGGGGAAAGAGAGATTGCATTGGAGGATAGCAAAACGGTTTTTTCGTTTTTCTCTCTACTTTGGTGAATTTCAATATTTGGAATAAGACTAAAGGGAGAATGTTCAAAGTTAGCAAATTGTTCATCGTGCATTTACCGATTTTGATCGTGTGTAATAAGAATGAGTGGGTGAAGAAGTCGTATTCGCGATCGGTGATTTACCGCGATATTGTTGGTTTGAAGAAGTTTTCAATATCGCTGATGAAACAGGATCACGATTGGCGCTATCAGATATAGTTAAGGTTGTGCCCATATTATCATTTAATGCTGAAGTCATGTAACGTCCACTGGAATACGTTGGACTAGAATATACAATGAATTAAATTAATGAACAAAGTAAAGGAGGAAAAAGCAGATTTAGTTATGTCAATAGCGCGTGTTTTTCTTTTGTTAGATTCCAGCATCAATAAAGAACAGTTTTATTGTGTTTTCCTTTAGATTAGAGATTTTTTTAGTCGTATATGTAAATATATCGCTTACAAAGGTGTTGTGAACAAATGAGTCTTTCTATCTCATTAAGACTATTTTTCATGCGAGCTGAATGTGTTTGATCTGGTAAATGTCATGTTTATAAATAGGCTCTTACGTTTTCATAGTCGATGCCGATGGGGTAATGTAAGACCGAGGCTTGCGCCAATTGGAACTTGGCAGAGCATTCGACGGCGTATTCGATACCGGTGTATAACTACGACGGAGATTTGTTGATGGAGTCATCGATGATGAGACATTTTGAAGTGGTACGCCGCCCGAAGAGATCAGTGCTGTTTGAGCGCGTTTGTATGTTGACGATGGATCAAAGCTGCATAAGAAAATAAAATAAAAAGAAAATTTGAGTATAAAATCAATAAAAAGTCAATAGGAAAACATGGCAGCGCTGTCCGTGCTCGTCTTTTTTCATCAGCGAGCTACTAAATCATGCAAATGGAACGCATTCACACACACACACGGTCAAACAGGTAAAAGAAAATAGGATGACTAACGAAACAACTGGAAATATAGAAGCGAAAGGATAATTGATATGTATATAATGACAACAATCCGAAATCCTATTTTATGAAAACACCTTTCTGAGTCTAGCGTAGCAAATAGAGTCGATCGATGGATTTCATGGAAATTGATAGGAGCCGTAACAGCACGATTCTTGTATAGTCGAAGTGGCGCTATGTGTTCATCATCCATGGTTACTGCTGACGATAAAGGTCTTGTGAACAGACTAGAATAAAATATTTTTCTTACATCAAATCATACCGATTCCCTATCACTCAACGAGCAGTTTTCGAGCAATAAAAAAAAATGAAAACGAATATAGCGAGCAGTGAAATGAACAATCTTCCCAAACAATCTATTAATTATCTAATCACAGATCGTTTCTATACGATCAGCATTTGAAGACGAACAGTTCACCCATGCGATTAGAAACTAATCTGAAGTACCTATCGGTACCACCACCATCGGCGATAGCATTAGTGTTGTTATGCACTCGATTTTGATGTATTTGTAAAGCTTTTTTTGTTGAAAACGATCTGTTGGAACATTTGTTACAAGTGATTGAGTATTGATTTGGGTGTTGGCTTTTCATATGTTTGATTAATGTTGCGGATGACTGATAAGTTTTATTACAATATTTACACCTAAACGATTAGTTATGATTTCGTTAAACATGCACAAGCGTTTTCGTTTGGCACTAAGTTCGACTTGAAAGGCTTTTGAAAAAACGAGAGAGCTCGCAATAAATCAAAGATAGCTTACGTTAAACTCGAAGTCACATTCGTGTTTGGAGATGCCCAATGTGATGGACCTGTGGAATGATGCTGTTGCATACGACGTGCTTTGATTTCATTCAATCGATCGCCTTGCGTTATTTCATTGTCATTCTCTTCCTTTAAATAGAAAAGTATCGTTTCTATAGGATAAGTATTTCATGGATTCATAACGTACTTCATTGTTATTATTCGAGTCTCCTATTGAGTACCGAAGGGGACCAAGACCAGTCGTATCCATAGCCGAATTTATACCGTACGAGGACATGTATCGCGGACGGTCTTTAATTCGATACGTATCGCCTAATGACCAGAGCCACGCTTGTTTTCTACAAAGATTCGATGAAAAATATCATGATAATTTTTTCGCTATGCATAAGTCAATCAGATTCTTTACTCTTCGAGGTAATTTTGCTGAGGTCCAATAACAGAACCCGGCCGGCATATTCTCAACCAAGCAATAATCTCAGCTGCTGTAAATTTATAGTGCTTCATTAGATAGGCGCCGATCAAAGTACCCGTTCGACCAAGGCCCGCTGTACAGAACAAAAAGCAAGAAAGAACATGATCATTTGGCTGTTTGAAACTTGTTTTCTTTTTGTCTTCATTACCTTTACAATGGACGGCAACAGCTCCTTTCGCTTGTTCCACAATACTCAAGAATTTCAGCGTAATCGCATCACTCGGTGTACTACCATCATTGAAGAACAATTCATGATGATCAAAACCAGCGTCGCTAAATCGTTTGGCATCATAGATCTTCTTATTCAAACGTACAATGGTCGTCACATTTCGTTTACGAAAATAAGTAAAGTAGGCTTCAGGTGCGTGCAATGGATAACCCTTGAATAGAAGATCATAACGAATATAAATTGCCGGAGAAAAAAAAGCGTATCACAAACACAAACTTACATTCTCGATTTTACTTTTCGTATGTGGACCGGAAAACGCGAGTATTTTACGAGGTACAATCCAATTCAAATCTCCATTTTCTACTTTCTAAACAAAAATAAATTTTCTTCTTCTTACCAATCAGATTTTTTTTCCTCAAAAATGTTACTTCGTAATGTTCGTATTCTTCTAAGTCGAAATTTTCGAAGTCAAAAAAGCCGTGAAGCATCGCCTAGAAATACTATACTTTGTTAACAGAAAATAATGTATGGAAATAAGATTAACCTTATAGAGTCCTTGCAATGTGTCGAGTAATGTAAGATTATACGATGATGAGCCGAGTGACGCATCTCGAAATGGCAGAAATGAATGGACAGCATTGATACCGCTCACTAATGGTTTGTATGCATCTTCAGGTGTTCGTTTCAAGTAGATAACCTGGAAATCAAAAGAGGAGATGCTTTTCTTCGAAATGATCTTTCCTTACTGAATAAGCAGCGATAAGAAACGCTGCATTTGCTCGTTTTTTTGGATCGAAGGTTGTATAATGGATGATTCTTTTGTGTCCAAGCGTAGGATTCTAAAAAGAAACATTTGCAATCAAAATACTAACAAATCAAATTTGTTTTCCATACATTTAGCTTTTTATTCAACTTTGTACAGTATCGATGAACGACGGCTAAATTCAACGGGCCAAAATCAGCATAGAAACTATGAACAAAAAAAAAGGATGCGATCGACAATAAACTTTTGATTTTTAATTTACTTTTCATAGACGTATTCATCATCGACGGAGAAGAAGTGTGTGTTGGCAGTGGATTTAGGTCGTATACGTAATGTGGCGAAATAAAGGCGATCTTTGATGATCTCAGATGCGCTACCGATAATATCGGTTTCGCTACCACCGCCTCCGACATTGCCATCGATCATTGGTTTTTATTTCAAATAAAATTGTTCGTTTCTTCTCGAATGTTTGGCTTTGTTTTTTTTTGTACGTTTTATTTGATGTAGAATCGATTAATTAGGAAAATCATAGACAGAAGAAAAGAACAGACAGAGGAAGACTAGAAAACGAAAGAGTTCATATAATTGAATAGATCAATCGAGATATGGATAAAAACTAATATTTACCTAAAACGAAACAAAAAAAAAGAAAAACATTTAGTTTGAAATAATGAAATTATTTTAAATGGATTTAGACAGTTCTGTTGTAGGGAAAGAAAAGAAAGAGATGAAAACGAACGAATCAGCAGCCGTTGTTAAGCGCCATTAACTATGCAAAGAGTCTCTGTTTTGTAGTAATCAATAGTTATAACATGTCAAACAAGTCGAAAAGCTCTTTTTACTTTTATTTTAGCGCTGCTCAAGAAATCGATGGTTTTTTGTGCACTTGTTCTCAGGAAAACTAAATATACGAAGAAAAACAAGAAAGAAAGCTGATAGATGTCGCTGGTTATTCTTCCCATCGGATTGTGCCCAGTAGAAACGAAAAAAAGATAATTTTCTTCTTTCTCAAAAAGAAAATGATTTCCGGCGATGCTAATGACGACGTTTTTTTTTGCTAATATGATTAATGATCGGATATATGATGTAAAATGATGATGAATTTCTTTTTTAACAATACAAGAATGTGAAGTTCTATAGAGCAATCAATGTCGCTCCTTTTTCCTTTTCCTAAGAACAATACGTCATTCCTTGACTTGAATTTCTGATGAGTTTATAACTGGACGAAAAAGTTTGCAAAATTTTTGTTTGATTAAAGCTCAAATTTCTTCGCCTTTGTTCCTGATCGCACTTACTTAATAATAAACGACATCAGATGACAGAGTTATTTTGTTCTGATAAGAAGTTCTTTTTCTTCTATTTACAGACATGATCCGTTTTTGGCCATATGAAGCAAAACAAACAACAAGGAAGAGTGTAGAAAAGCGAAGAAGAAGAAAGCGGAGGGGGGAGGAGGAAAAATAAATGCCAAAGACTAAAAAGTCAGAGATCATATCTTTTTAATTAGATTTTTTTCTCTTTTTCAATCAACCGAAATCAAAATAAGAATAACTTTGCTTTTCAGTTGACATTTGCTTGATTACAGTAACATATTCAACAAGTTCGAAGAAGATCTCAAAGTTCCTGATTGTTCTATTACATACTGTTGTTTGTACAATCGATCATGGAATCTGTACGGAATCATTCTAGGTCTAGTTTTAAAAATAAATGCAACTATCAGACAGAATTGTGTGCCATATCGAATTTCTTTTTCATAATTAAAATCTTATTACACGTGTTGATTTCTCGAATTCTCATGTTTCTATATTTGTATGACTATAGACAAAATAAATTACCACGTTCCATGTGGATGTCGCTTGTTTGCTGTATAGCAAAGAAGTCGTTGCTATGCAAGTGGAGATACCGATGGTAAAAGTAACATTTTTCTTTTCTCGTAACTAGATAGAGCGCGTATAGTAACCAAAAGAGTTCTTCTTCAAGAAAAGTTAGATAGAAACAAATGTCGAAAGATCCGTATCGTATTCTTCAACTAACTCGAAGTGCAACGGATAAGGATATCAAAGCCGCGTAAGTATGAAGAATAGATCGGTTGTATCCATCCGCACTTGCCTTGTTTAGTTATCGTCGATTAGCATTAAAATTTCATCCGCTAAAGAACTCTAATGATCCGAATTCAGCTATGAAATTTTATGATATTGCTGAAGCATATGATATATTAAGTGACAGTAGGTTATCTTTATTGTTGTTTGCTTTGAATAGAGAGCTGTTTGAATTGAAATTAAGATAGAAGACGAGCAATATACGATCAGTTTGGTGATGAAGGTTTGCGATGTGGAGTACCAACAGGTTGGACTTGATTTGGCTGACGACAATGATTGAAATACGAGACAAGATTTCTTTTTTTTTTCAGGAACAGAAAATGAATGGACGGATGAATATGTATTTCATGGCGATGCTGACAAAGTATTTCGAGATTTTTTCGGTGGTGATAATCCATTCGCAGGTTAGATTGAATTTTCAAATGATAGATTAGAGCAATGGCATTTTCCTATTTAGACTTTTATACAAGTGCTGCACAAGATCGAAGTTTAGGCTTTGGCTGTGTCGATGGTCGCGGCCGACGAAGAAAAGATCCTCCAATTGTACGTGATCTCCTACTATCTCTGGAAGATTGTTATCATGGTGCAATCAAGAAAATCAAAATAAGTCGACGAGTAAAGCATATAAGAAGTCAATCATACACATTTTTCTTTTGATACTCTCTTCAGATTATGAATGATGATGGTATATCATCAAGTATTCGAGAAAAGATTCTTTCGATTACTGTTAAACGTGGCTGGCTGCCAGGTACACAAGTTACTTTCGAAGGTGAAGGTGATCAAGGTCCGAACAATATACCATCAGATCTGGTTTTCACAGTTAAAGACAAACCACATCCAAACTTTCGTCGGGAAAACGCCGATCTTATCCACACAGCTAAGATTAATTTAGGACACGCATTAACCGGTATCACATTGCACATTGAACATCTCGATGGAAGATTATTAGACATTCCCGTTAATGAAATCGTCCGGTAAAACTTAACAAAACCTTCTCATCTTAAACAAAGAAATTTTCTGTCGTATATTTAGACCTGGTTATAAGAAACGCATTCCAGGTCAAGGTATGCCATTGATGTCTGATGCGGATAAATACGGAGATTTAATCATTGAATTCGATGTTGAATATCCACGTGGACTAAATTCTGATCAGAAACTTTACATCCGAGAAGCATTGATACATCAACAGGATAATAAAAAACAGAATCAACATCGAAGAAAAAATGCGACCTATGCAGACTAAACTCGATCGACCAACTAACCTTTCTCCAGATCAAAATCAATCTATTTTCTTTTCGCTTTATTTTCTAATCATTTCTATCGTTGCAATGACTCAATCTAGTTCGTTTTTGCATATATATATAAGCAATAAATCAATGTTCATTATTCACTAAATCGCCAAAGTACATTCGCAATTGCACATCAGACATGACCTCGTCTTTTATTATTAAAACGAAATACGAATTTTCAAACATGTGGCATAGGTTCGCATTTTTCTATCAGCGCATTTATACTTGCTTTAACTAAATAATGAAAAGCAAGTAATTTGGACACAGACATTACTTCCAGTATTTGTTGAGCATAGATTCTTCCTTCATAAGTGCACGTCAGCTTTTGCCAAAAGTATTCAACGAAGGATAACCAATCGAAACGAAATGTGAGGAGGATTTTTAATGAATGATTGACTGAATCGGGAAAATCATTGGAATCTGCTGTTCGATCCAATGATGTTAACATTCGAAATGGTAAGAATTTTCGTTGATTTTTCAGTGTTTCGTAGAGATTCGTATTTTTCCTTGTCATCGAAATCAAATGGAGTAGTCTTGCCCATCCGAGACCAAACATCTTTTCCACTTCAGAAGGTAAATATTGTAATTTCGACTCGACTAGTGGTAAACTATCATGAATTGACCTCTTATACGCTGACCATATTGGTTCCAAATAACATTCATCAATAGTGCGTGGAGTAAGTTTTTTCTTAGCAATACAAGATTCTGGGTTTCGGAGACGACGAAAAAATAAATGCCATTGATTCATAGCATTTGGGATTTGTTGAAAACATTGAGCAGAATTCGAACAGAAGTTCTCCTGTTGAACAATTCGAAATGCTTCCTTTTCAATCAAACCGACATCGACAGCAGCAAGAAATGGTACAACGGATAGATAATAATTTGCCGATGCCCACCAACTATCCGTTGACATGTACATTGTTCCATTCGTAAACAAACGATTCGAACTGAACAACCAACCGAATTGAGATGGTAACGCGAAGAGTATATTCGATGCATTCGATGATGAACAAAACGGCATATATGGCGTGGTGACATTGACCAGAATCTTAAATAGACCAAGTCGATGAGGATAAAACCACGGATCGATTAATCGGTATTGTACTACTGATTCGTTGATCAATGGAAATTCATCTATAGATGATGGAACTGAATGCCATAAAGGTGGGTAAAAGTTCGGTCTGTCATCATTTGTACGAGCATTGGTATTGGTGCAAAGAAACAGAAGAAATATCGTTGAGATTGATAACATATGTATTAATAAGGTAATAGAATTCAAGGAGAAATATTAAGGGCAATTTTATTACGTCGCATCAACTTACTGCTGTTGAATATCTACGAACGATAAAGATAAAGACGTGACCGTGGTTTACATGTTGCATTCCTAGCTACATTCTTGACTGGTGCATCTTTATTCAAAAATCATATCTCGAAATCAAATTTGATGGAGTCTATTGAGTGCAGGACTAATAACAACGTTCGAATGCAGTACTTGATTCAATTAGAATTATACATACACAGACGATAGTGATAAAGTGCCGAGTCATTAGAATATCAGTAGCTTTTGTATATACTTGCAAAGATATGTTAGAAATAACTTGCTGCTATTATTTTCGTGGGTTATCATATGAGTAAGTATGATGCAGCAGTCCTCAACATCGTATATGCCAAATATTTCAGTTGTTAATACAAACGAGATAAATATCACCGCACTCGGTCTTATTGAGAGAGGAAACGCCCCTACTGAGTGATGCAGAAAAACTTCAGTTTCATTCACTAGTTGAGCAAGTCGAGCAATATGTTGCAAAGATTCGAAAACATTGTTGAACCATTACTCGATGTATTTCCTGATCGACATAAATATGAATAAATCTGCTTATCTGTTTTCTTTTAATTTAATGTTAAAAACGAAGAATTTTCTCCTTGCAATCTGATTGGTGAGTGGAAAAGCAATAGCAATAAGCGTGTAGTGAAATGAATCATGACCTATTTTATTTGTTTAAACGAAGAGAAAGAACGAAACAAGCAAAAGAAATATTCATTCTCAAGTGTTGTTTTCTCTAAATAACATTATGAACGGTCATTATGTAAATTATGATAATCTTCTAAGCGAACTACGAAATATCATTAGTCAGAAAAGTGATGATGATTTACAAAAATTGTATCATAATCCGGACGAGATAAACAAGTTCGTTACCAATCTAAACGAAGTAAGACGCATATATTTGCCAAAGTAAATGTTATCATTGCAAAATAATTACTTTAGATGCAACATACAGAAACGATAAAGGAAAGTTTGAAACTCAATATCAATCGTCTCGCAATCGATAATCTAGACAAGGAACCGGTTCTTTCTGACGAAAGAGAGAAACTTCGAGAAGTATATGACGAACTCAACAAAGCCAAAGAAGAATACGATCTTGTTCGGCAACAATACGGTAAAACGTTTTGAGTTTCTTTTCGAATTGATCAAAAACATTTGTTTATCTTGATTGTAATAGAAGAGCGAGTCGGTGAGAACAATCCGGAAATGACCTGGGTGCTTTTACAAACAGCAGCATCTGAACTCGAACGTACTACTGAGGTTGGTCAAGTTTTGTCGATGATTAGCGGTTATGCGAAATGCATTCATTATTGTTCGTTTTCAGGAGACTGCTGAGGATTTCTTCTATGGTGCAAAAAGTGAAGACGAAGTCACGGATTTCGAACGTCGTTTTATCGAAAATCGCAAACGAGCACATGAATTGAAAATCAAAGCTGAAAAATTTCGTGAATTACTACACACTTCTTCAGGTTCATCTTTCTTCAATTCAAATTAATACATGTTTAACAATGAAATCATCCAGTCATCATTTACATTTATCAATACATTCTTCGTTCTATTTTAATAAAAAAACAGCTGAATAAAATGAATGAGATTCGCTTATGTTTGTGCACAGATATATGTCTTGGTTTGTTATTTATGTTTGTGTTTTTTTAGATCGAGACTTCCTCTTCCAATGTTTAATGGTATGCTAGACTATTAGTATTCAGATATCACATGTGACGTGATTGTCGACTGTCAATATTGTTCTTTGCATACGAAGCTTATATTGCAAAATTTTTCTTCCAATGATATAACTCTTTTTATGATGCCTGCCTAGTAACAGTTAACTCACACACTAATCACATTTTGACATTGATGTGACAGATTTTTGAATCACTGTTGTTTCTTTTTTCTTTTCTAGATAACATGCCCGGTGCAAAACGGTATGCAGTTGTTGATGTGTCTGATATTTTCAAGTGTGTTTTGTCATGTTTAGTTCAGCGAAGTCAGTGTCATATACAGAGATTGATGACGATGATGGTAAAGCTAAGGTTTGACAATGAAATTTTACGTTTTCTCGCTTTAGACTTTGTTTCGAAGAAAACTCGTAGCTCAAAAGAGAAGCAAGAGAAAAATGAAACTAAGTCGTCGACTCGAGCGCCACCACGAAAACGATCAGAAAAGTTTGTTACAGTTGGAAGCAGTAGATTGATGATAATTTTCATGTGTGAGCAGATTATCAAAAGTTGAACAAGAAGAGATCGATCTGGCCCTCAAACTTTCGAAAGAAGTTGAAGTTTCAATTGAAATTCCAGTTATGGTCGATGATACTCAAAGTACAACTAGTCAATCAACAGAAACAAGTCAAGGTAAGGAATCGATTTCACGAAGAGAATATCTATTATGTTACATTTTAGATAGTAAAATAACAACAGAGAAAAAATCTGATGAACAGGACGAAGATTTCTCACCGAAAAGCAAACGAATTAAACGAGAAGAAGAGGAAATTGAAGGTAGGATACGGTCTGTTTCATTTATGATATTAATCAATGTTAGTGTAGACGAAGATGTCGCTGAAAGTGAACCTAGTAGTGAAGAAGAAAAAGAGGAAGAAGAAGAACCAACACCGGAAAAGAAACCACTTCGTAAATCAAAAGAAACAACAAAAACACCAGGTAAATTGAATACCAAACAAACAAATCAATTTTTCCCTTTCTTCAGAAGCACCACCAATTACACCACTCGATCTCAATTCAACTCGATCAACAACACGTGCTCAACAAAAACCGACAAGTATCTGACAACTAACCAACTCTTTCACTACTATTTCTTCTCGATTTAGCCTTGTCGATTGATGTCGTCAAGAAGAAATGCAATACACCATTAGGCTTTCCAACAAGTAAAATCGTTATTCCAACTAGTCAACCATCTCGCGTCGGTTTATCACGAAATTCACATACTATTAAACCGCTTCATCCAAATCTCAATCAACGTATTGTTCATGAGTAATTTCCTTTTCCCGTCTAGATGTTTTATAGTAAATGTGTGTGTGTGTATATATATGTTATATGTGTATTTGTGTGACATAGATACGAAAATGAGTTGTCTGTTGTGATCTTAAAGATACTTTTTTTTTATTTAAAGCAAAAGCCAACTTCTCTCAGGAAACTTAGCTATTTTATTTTATTAGAATTTTTAGATCTATACATTCCGTCATGTTCTACATATAAACTGTGATGCCAATGATGAACTCTTCATCTACAAACATGAATAATGATGATATAACAGAAACAGTTAAATTTTTAATCCATTATCAACAACAAGCAACGGTTATCTATCTTCCATATAATCTATCATTAGAAACCTTCTATACTCATGTATGCTCGATATGTCATCTCAAATGGAATGATCCGCCATCGTTCACTGTTAAATGGCTTGATGAAGCCTTAGATGCGATTACAATGTCGTCGCAGAGAGAATTAAATACTGCCATACGTCTATATAAGAAAAATTCGGACAAAGAACTGCATATACATGTTTTTGCAAGTTGTCCAGAACAACCAGGCCTTCTGTGTCCCGGGGAAGATCCATTAATATATCGACGTGGCGCACGTCGGTGGAAGAAGCTTTATTTAATCAATGGACATCGCTATCAAGCAAAGCGATTTAGTACAACTGCTGCCTGTACTGTCTGTAACGATCGTTTATGGGGTTTAGGTAGACAAGGCTACAAATGTCTCGATTGTCGAGTAAGCTCGCAAACAAATTCGATGAAATTTTCCTATTTTCGATAAACAAAACAGGTTCTTGTTCATAAACGATGCGTAAAACTACTACGAATCGTATGTGGCACAACATCGTCAGGTCCATCACCTTACCATTCGAAAACAAAGGAAACAGATGGAAGACATACATCAATAAATAGTCTGACATCCAATGGACAAGAATCAACATCGAGCAAGAAATCAAATGATCAGTCACAACAGAACGGATCAAGTGACTTAATTGAACGAAATAGACCATCAGGTGCTAGCGTGATGAATGCACGAGATCCAATGAGCAAACAGAAAATGTCCAATATTTGTGAACCTGGACCATTGAAACGAGCACAAGGTACAGCTTGTGAATATAGAGAAGTTTTCTTCCGCACTTTAGAATGAACAACAATCGTTTCGTCTGAGTTCTATTTGTTATCGATGAGGGAGGATAAACAAACAAAGGAAATAGGGATCAATATTGTGGTATTTTGATTTTCCTCATGAAACTCAGCTCATACTATCACGGAGACAGAAGTCAATATTTTCTTGATCAACAGAATTTCCGAACTTGTATATCAAATTTGGATTCACACGAGAAATAACAGAAATCATTCGGATGTTCAAACTCAAAACTAATGCTGAACAAAATACTTCAGTCCTTATGCAGTAAATCGAAAAGCAAATTGAATAGGGATCGATTTTCAAAACGAATTCGTAATTTCTCGTCACTGATCATACTCTCAACTGAATTGTGTACATAATGATTTTGTCAATTTAGGTTTAACTGATCTAGGTCAATCTCCGTTTGATGATCCGAGTGGAACAAATAGTAACTATGTCGATGTCGGTAGTGATATGCCAAATTCTGCACCTGTTCCTCCAACAATTACTTTACAAGATTTCGAATTATTGAAAGTCATTGGTCGCGGTTCGTATGCCAAAGTATTTCTCGCCGAGTATCGTCCTCGTCATTTACGTCATCTGCCTCATAATCAACAACCTCCACGTTTATATGCAATGAAAGTGATAAAAAAATCGATTGTAAACGACGATGAAGATATCGACTGGATTCAATGTGAAAAGAATGTTTTCGAAAAAGCAACAAACCATCCATTCCTTGTCGGTTTACACTCATGCTTTCAAACGCCATCGAGACTGTTTTTCGTCATTGAGTTTGTCACTGGAGGAGATCTAATGTATCACATGCAACGGCAAAGAAAACTTCCGGAATCGAGTGCCAGGTTAGTTTGTACGAACACATTGCCATTCAATATGACCTTTTGTGAAATGATCTAGATTCTATGCAGCTGAAATCACTGTGGCTTTGCATTTTCTGCATGAGCACGGTGTAATTTATCGAGACCTGAAACTAGATAACGTTTTACTCGATGCCGATGGTCATATCAAACTAACGGACTATGGTATGTGTAAAGAAGGCTTGGATTTCAAACGAGATGAACGGACAAGTACATTCTGTGGCACACCGAACTATCTCGCACCAGAAATGTTGAGAAATCATGACTATAACTTTAGCGTTGACTGGTGGGCACTAGGTAAATATGTTCAATTTCAGTTCAACTAATTCCATCTGCTTCTTTTTCTCTATAGGTGTGTTGATGTTTGAAATGATGGCTGGACGATCTCCATTTGAGATTGTGGGCTCAGCTGAAAATCCTGATTTGAACACTGAAGATCGTTTATTTCAAGTTATTCTCGAACAGCCCATACGTATTCCACGTTCTTTGACTGTCAAAGCCAAGAATGTTTTAGAAGGCTTTCTAAACAAAGATCCACGCAGTCGTCTAGGCTGCCGATATGATCCCATTATTGGTTGTCAAGCTGGTTTTCAAGATATTTGTCTGCATCCATTCTTCTATCCTGCTATTGATTGGCAACGATTAGAATCTCGACAAATTGTTCCACCTTACAAACCAATGTTGACTGAAGATAAGGATCTTTCACACTTCGATCCTCAATTCACCAATGAAGATGTTGTTTTAACTCCTGAAGACGGTGAAGTTTTAGCACGTATCCAACAATCCGAATTCGAAGGTTTTGAGTATGTTAATCCTTTAATTATGACTGTCGAAGGCAATGTTTAATCCTTATGTATGTACATTAGTATACATATTTATCTATCTTTCTCTATACATATATGCGTAATTTATCAGTCGCAATATTCTCTTCCTCATTGTTTCCTTCTTTCTTTTTATATTCGCTTACCGCCGTTTGTATTCGAGATCTCTGTTCATTGCTTCTCTTAGTTTCCATAACAAAATTTTGATCATTTGGAATGTGTGAAGACGGTTTTTTTCTTCTTCTTCTGTTTCTTTTTTTACTGTATTTAATGCATGTCACTGCTACCAACAAAAAGAACAACGAAAGACAATCAGTTTGGAATAACAAATTTCAATCATTTGCAAGCTTATTTTATCGATAATGAAACAATAACTCTGTTCGATACCATCGAGTCTGAACGATTAGCGAGTAGATCTCTTGCCGAAACTCGCGAAGTGTGATTAAATAGATTGGAAATGACAAAATGTGATATGTGTAAAGAATATAATCGAATAAATGAAGAACAAAACGACTTGCTGTAGCATAGAAAAATGCATAGCAGATCGTTGCAGGAATGGTCATGATTAAAAAGAGGAATGTGGTTATAATCAAGGTGATCGATATCGAACGATGTTGAATACGCGCATTTTGAATTGCACCAACATAACGAAAACGCATGAGATGATAAATGACGTTACTATTGAATGAAACCATCAAAATAAATGGCACACAATTGTAAATAACTAAGTTAATATAATCCCAAAGAGGATAGATTTGATACAAGCGCGCATTGAGATTCATTGTGCCATTCTCGTTGAAATAACAGGCGAATAAGATGAAATGCAAGTTGATTAATGTGAATACGATCACAATGCATGAAATAATGATGAGAACATTTTTCGATTGGTAAGACGAAAGTTTATGAGGCCAATTCAGCGCTAAACATCGTTCGAAGCAAATCGATACGCGTAGCCAAGCGGAAACTTGTGACGCAAAATAATTGAGGAATGAGCCTAACTTACAGGTTGGAATGGACCAGGTTTGTAACATGAATCCATAGGCTCGATAGAGAAAGTGATCGAGATTCCAGCCGTATAACATTAAAATATCGAAAATGGCTATTGCGCGCATGTAATACAATGTCGATTGCCGCATAGAATCACGAAAGATCGGCCGATAAAGTATAAGGTACGTCAGAACATTGAGAATCGTGCCCATAATCACAAGAAATAACGGATAATAAGTGGCAAAAACATTACGATAATCATGCTCGTCCACTGATGCATTCGTATTGCTATTATTATTCTTATAATACGTCATCATAGATAGTAACAACTTCGTTGTTCTGTCTCGTCAAGCTGTGTGGTCACCATGAATTCGTATAATTGCGATCTTAAAAAGAAAAAATGAAGCTGGAAATGTACTGATGACTCCCACATTATCTGTCTAGTTTTTAGTACCCACTATGCAATACGATATTAACATTCATCGGAAACTCCTTTCGACGTTCTGTAATTATAGCTTGTGTGAATACACTTTCCTGTCACTGATCTACCCTTCATAGTTTTTAGACATGCAACAATGTTTTGAACTCTACTCCATTGATCTACGACGTTCAGCTTTTATTCTTTCCGAGAAAGAGAATCTAACAATGTAATATGCAGATATTAATCATTTACGATGTATCATAAAAAATACGCCATCTGATAATGCAAACTGGAATAGAATGAGTATCGATCTCGGGACATTCTGAATGTGTCATTTCTTTCTCCTATCATTCAGCACAATCGCACTTCCTATCTGCATATTCTCGAAGAATCATCGCATTTTGCGGGTGTGATATGCGTACATATCAACGAGGATTTCGTCAAGCAGATGCATTTTTAATAAACAACTAATTCATTAGTTTTCTATGATTAATGACAAAAGATTGATTCTTTATGTATTCATTGGTAATCCTTACACAAAAGAAATGTTAGCTTCAATTACGAAATAATTATTCTTTCTTTTTTCAGGACTAAAACGTTTCTGACGTGAAAGCTGGAGTAATACATCGGAGTTACGATTGACTGATAACTAATGCGATCGATCGTTGTTGGCTGCCGGCGGTTGTTTTACTCGAAAACAAAAGACATCGAATGCATCACATAATTCTTGACATACTTTTGTATCGTAGTGAAGTAAATCGTATAG